CTTTGGTTGTCATCTTCATCAAATGTCTATGCTTATTTCCTGTGGAGGGATCTTAGTATAACTATCTCATGCGTTACCTTTAGTCTGACCATTTTTCATGTTAAAATATCTGGTACAACTGCTATATGGAAAGGGCTTACGATTGATTGAGTGTCCATTTCTCTTTTTTCTCTGTTTAAGTTTGTTGGGGAACTGTTTGGGTTATATAGATTCTTCCTTTGTAGAGAGTCCAGCTCTGGGTTTTATTCTAGTATCCAACCAGACATCAAATCATCCATTTAAAAAGAACTTTTGAAAATGTCTGATGATGTGTAATGATACTCAAGGTCTTATTCTTGATTTTATTTATTCATTTATTTCATATGGTATGGAGTGCATTGAGTAAGTTTTGCAGAATATTGGAATTAAGGTGCTTGCAGATCGTCTAGTTCTAAACCACATCCTTGTGAGCTAGTCATCTCTACACCCATCACGTTTTGGCTAATACTCTTGGCTATCCTCGTCTCTGATTTTTGCTTCCCCCATCCCTTCGTTCATATTGAAAATTCTTTTGCAACTGCTTAGCTTTTACCTTTGAATGAAATATGCTGGTGTGGTGAATAGCATTTGAGCCCGTTGCCATGGCAACCAGTATCAAGATAACATGGAATCAATAATAATTCATTCCTAATCAAGAAGAGTTCAATCTGGATGTTCAGACAGCATTCTAGAGAGATCATAGCCAACATAATCACTTGTTGGGCACAGGGGTGAGAAAAGGGGGACATTTGGGACATATTTTGAATAGGTAAGGGGTTGTTCCTTTTTGAATACTGTAACTGTTAGTATAACAGCAGTATATGCATGATATTACCAGTAAATGATGTTATGTATGGCATGATGTAATGTTAATGTTTGTATTAGGACTTTAAAGAGAACCCAGATACAGCTCTTAGTTGTAAGTATTGTTGTTTGAGAAAGAAAATCTATTTAAAAGGTGGGCTTTGATTGGTATTGGCAGCAATAAAGCAACAATATTGCTATGATCTGTTGGACAATATGTTAATGGTAATGTTCATTGTAAGGTATATGAGAGCTTGACAGAGAATGTGATGAAGAAGTAGATGGAAACTATTGCATTACTATTATTTACTTTTCCAAATTTATTTTAGTCTGTAGGTTTACAACCATAAGGTGTGAGAGACTTAGACACACAATTCAGTATGTTAAAAGATGGACTGAGACGCATCTATTTTAGTTTTATAGAAAAAATGGAAAACATATCAGTTCTGCAAGAGTGGGGATTTTCCTCCTTTTTAACATTTTTCTTTATGTTTACAAAATGGTTAACAAAATGTTTTAATTTAATTATTGAAAAATTAGATGGATTACATGATGTTATGACTGGATAGTGTTTTCCCCACTATTAACAGTCTCTGTTCACTTTCATGATGCAGTTTAAGAATAAGTCAAGATCACCTGGGGAATTGAAGGGATTTCACTTATGTATAATTTAATCACTGAAAATATCACATCAAAATGATCCACATGGAAGCAAGGCCCTTGACTAAATGACTGGGCATCTTAGATATAGAATCAGCCTCTAAGTCCAAAGTGTTAGAAACAAATAGTTTGTATGCAATATTCCTGTCACTTAACTGTTTAAATTTCACTGTATTGTCCTGATGCTTTAACAATTTACTGTTTGTTTACAATTTCTAACCACAGGAAGGCAATCTAATCCTGATGTGGCTCAGAACACTCTCTCAAATTAAAGTACCTGACGTCCATATTTCCTTCTGAAATATACAGGAAGACATTGTGGTCTAAATATTAGGGGAAATATTCAGAACTTAATTATTTAATTAAAAATGGTATAAATATCAAATCCAATTGTAGGGACCTGAGTAGGAGAAAATAACTTTTTCCCCCAAGGAAAATGTGATTTGGCAGGAAAATCCTAGATATGGTACCTTTAAGTGTACTTTTTAGATGTGTAAAGGTCAGAGTTAAGCAGTCACTGCTGGACTGGAAATGCACCCATTGCTTGTAAGCTTGCATAAAGCCTAATTGTTTAATAATGAACTAGGCTGTGTGTGTTGCCCATAGAAATACATGCATTGCTTAATTTTGGTTGTTAAACAGGTCTCTCCTCTGTTGTGTTGTATCTGTTGTATAGCATATACATTTTCATCATCAGATTACTGGGGCTTTAGAAAAACAGGAAAATTAATTCTTACTTGTCATAGTGTTCATGGGTTATCCATTTCTTCTTTGATTTATTTTTATCATTATATTTTTCAATGCATTATCAGACAAAAAGATTTCATGCTGAGCTCGGTTGTGAAAGTTTGATCTGTGTGTTCATTTAAACTGTCAGTCTGTAGCTTCATAGAGCTAGTTTAGGAGCCAATAATGAAGACATCATTTCAGCGTGATGACTTCTACTTGTTATTATTATCAAAGCCAGCTGACATTAGCTGGTGTCTAGCAGAAAATCAATAGAATTGATGCCCAGCCTGTTGCTTCAGAGGCACTCCAATATGATAACCTACCAACCTTGTTCTCTTGGTGATGACAGCCAACACAGCATGTTTTCTGTTGTCTTCCAGTTGGTGAAAGATTTGGGGAGGGGAGTGGGGTGGGGTGGGGGGGCGGGGGGACCTGAGGCTGTCTTCTGGAAGACAGTAAGAATTTTTCAAGTTTACATGGATGAGTATCTAATTTTTTCTGTCAGAAGAGGGTTAAAAAATGGAGGATGGATCAACAAAGATAATTTGGAAGACTGTCAGAAAATATCCCTGGATCCGCCCCTTAAAGATGCCCAGAGACCATTTGAATTATAGCAACCTGTACTGAGTCCAGACAGGTCACACATTGAATAAAGCCCATAAAGTGCTACTTTAAAGGGTTGTGTAGACTGGCTTTATGTAAGGTGGTTTTGTGTCTACAATTCATTAAGTAAGTTACATCTGTAATAATTTTCAGTGGATTTATTGTGTGAGGTATAGTGGTACAAACCATCCCAGATAGCCCAAAGTGTCAAGACTGTACTGTAAAAGGAAGGGAGATTTAGAGGAGAGTGGGATCTATATTATGTAGCATTACAATATAAGGTGACATTCCTAAGGCATAGAGGTATATTCTAATTTCTGAAAAGTTAACCCTACCTCACACAGATTCTCGCAAATTCTCTAGTCTTCTATGACATCACATTGTGAACAGCCTCATTTTAGGCCATCTCAGATTTTTTTTTTTTTTTTTTTTTTTTGATCATTTTGCGGGTTGTAATGGTGGTATTCAATCCCATCTGTATATAACTTGTGAAATCAAAACCCGATGGTTTGTACTAGCATAATTGCCAGATTGCATACAAATCTGTGTATGATAGTTCTGAGAGTGGAGGGGTGGTAGATTTTGGGTGGGATAAATGATCTACTTAATTCATTGAAGAAACAAAACATTAAACTTATGGGACTGCCCATGTAATCTGGGACATTTTGATTATGGGACTGCCTACGTGTTATGGACACTTTGAATATGGGACTGGCTGTGTAGTCTTTAATTTTTGGATACCATCTCTTCTGAATTCGCCTCTATTTGCCAATCACTTACAACTTGAAATGGAAACCTGCAGTCATTTCATGTCTGATTTTTTGTTTACTTTTTATCTGGTTTATTTATAGCTATAATTATGTAACTTGCTTCCCTGGCCTCATCAGTTTGCTTATTTTTAGTCTAACGTGTATCCAATTACAAACAAATCCTGATGACCAATTCTTATTTAACTGCTGACCAAGATGCAAAATGCAAAATATACTCCTATTATTTTTGAAGCAATGCAAAATAAAAGGAAAGCAAGTTAAATTTACAATGTGCAATGTAACTTCAGTTACTCGATTATAAAGAACCATTGTAGCAGAAAACATATCTATTCTCAAGAAAGCTCTGGACTAGTAAAAATCGGCTAATATATTCTGCATCAAGGAAGTCATTAAAACTTGCCAAATGAGTAGGAGGACACCTAGTTAGCCTCCAACCTCCATCCAATTAACACATAAATCATGAATTGAAAACAGAATTGGGGTTACAATCAGCTTTTGGTGTTGCATGTTTAGAACATCATAATTAACGTTTGAGCGTGAATTGGACAATTTGTTCTTTTTTTTTTTTTTTTTTTTTTTTGCGGTCTGCATTTTGTATGCGTGTAATTATAATAATTATGCACAGAACACTATAATTGAAAGGTTGTGATAATATGATAACATCCGAATATGATCATAATTGAATTAAAGAGTATTTGAAGTATGTTAAATAAAAGATGATACATAAGGGATTCAAGACGCTCTTCCGTTGTAAACATCCGTTTCCTTAGCCTGCTCAATAATCCAGCAGGTATTTAATATCCTTAATGAATAGATGTTTGGTCTACCCACATTTGTTGGTTATCTGTTTTCTGAGATCTGGATACTTCCTTTCCGTCTTAGTATTTGTTGTTGTTGTTATTGTTGATGGTGATATAATGAGATTACGTCATGTTTCCTTTATATAAAACGTGTTCTGTGGAGTTTTATGTTCATAATTGTGAAGATATCTTTGCTACATTGAAGAAAAATGAGACGCTCAAGAGCTGCTAAATGTGTGGTGAGCAAAACAGTGATCTAAAGAATCATAAACTTGTGTTTTTTATGTAGAATTTCTTCTTTAGATATGTCATTTGGTTGTTTAAATTCATTCAGAAACAAGAGAGTGGATTTGCCTATATGAGGATTATTTGGTATTGAGGTGATCTTTTTATTAGCTCGTAGGTTTTTAGCACTGCAGTCTTGCACTAACTTTTTTCTTCTTTTACCAGGTAACATGATTTATTAAAATTGAAACTTTCCTTTTTTTTTGAGCATTCAATTGAGAAGAAATTGAAATGTTTATACTTCAAAAACCCATATTTACATTTACTTTGATTTACTGCACATGTGATTTAATTTGCACCTAAGAATTAACTATTTTTTATCCCTTTGCAGCACTTCCTCAGTGGGTCTGATGACAGTAAGAGAACAGAGTCTCCACCTCTAGCTCAACAAGAAGATTTACCGGCAGAGGTATGTTTTTTAAAAACTTTCTTTGGTGAAATGGCTTCCATACAAATGCAGATAAAAAGCACTTGAAATGTTTACATGTGTTCATTCTACACTACTCAGGCATAGGCACACAGGAAAATACAAGTTCACATTCCATAAGTATATTTATTGTTACCTTACTTTAAGTATGGTAACACTTAAATCGCAGAAGGAGTTTCCGAGATGCTATAGTCATGATTCATGGTTCTATGAAATAGCAAAAAGAAGCCATGAAAGTTAGTTGCAGCTTGATTTAATTATCTTTTGCATCTGGTGAGGACAGGAAAAGTGGGACTATTAAAAAGTGGGTGCTTGTTGTTAAAGAAAAATATAATGGAATTAATTGCGTGTTTGTAGATTTTTTGCAATTTTTTCTACAGCATTTGATTGCTACCAGGTTGTCATTTGCCATGACGTTCACAATTTGGTGAAATTTGCAAATTTTCCTGCAGTAAAATGATGTGTCGGGTCTGCTTTCGTGTGATTTGAAGTGCACATTTGTAGTTGGCGTTTGTATTCTGTATTCCCAGTGCTCTGTAGATGCATGTAATTTAAGAATTTCCGAAAGCTGCTGAAAGACACTCAGATTATGGGAAAGTCTCAGTGATTTTAATTATTAATTATTAAATTATTAAAATAATTTGTATCTAATTATGTGATCATGCTTTAAAGACGGTCTGAAGGTGTGAAGTAGACCTGATTTTACACTATATATAAAATCATCCTTTATTTTTTAAAACAAAGATGTTACCTGAGACTTAGATACAGGCTACTTTCCCAGCCAAGAACAGACATGAAGTAAAAATTGTTATAAAAGATTTTGAAACTGCTAAGTATATAAAAATGCAGGTTTTGTTCATCAAGGGTTTGTCTCATTATTTTAAGTGACAGTCCCATAAAAACCTATAGGCAAGAGTTCAGTTTAAGTACACATTTTATTCATACATATTTCAGGAACAATCTGAGGTTCACAACATTCAGCCCCGTCATGCATGCACAGTGTCTGCCGAGCCACCGCAGCAAAATGGGCAAGCCAACGGAGCGGTAAGCGCCGGGGCAACAACCACGGAGGAAGTTGAAGAAGCACCGGACTTGGAACTGCCACCACCCATGGAAATTCAGGAGCACTTGTTTGGCTCAAACCCTACCTCACAAGAAGATGTCCATGCTAAACTGGTAAGGCTATTGTTACAAATGCCTGAATTAGGCCCCATTCAGAATAGGGGCCTAACTAGTCCAAATATGGTCAACCCACTTGAATACTTCCCCACAGGATATCTATTCAGTGTCTATTAGTGGATTAGATGTCAAGCTTTGTAGTGGGTCGCCATATTTGACCCTCGGACTAGTTAGTCCCCAGTTCTTAATGGGGCCTTACTCCCCACCTCCACTTCTGTTCCCACAATCAGTACACACTTTCTAGAGCAGAGTTACATATTTTAGCACTAACTGAGTCAAATTTAAGTAGGTCGAAAGAAACACTGCTGATTTTTTGATGAGATATGGCATTCTTGCAATTTCTTTCCTCTGTTTTCACTGGCAGATTAGGCTGCTTGAAGAATGCATGGCATATTTGCTTTAGAACAATTGATATATATTCCATTCTTTATTCTCTCTCCTTACAGTCCTCTTCTTTGTCATTGAAGGCAACAGACACAGCAAACCCAACAGAGCTGGCCTCAGAATTGGAAACAATGGTCAAGCAAAAAATGGTAGGGAAAAGCATGTGATTTGATGGATGGTTATTGAATTTTATTTGTATTTTTTATGTATATTTACCAAAAAAAAAAAAAAAAACTTACGCAGATGCCCTAAGGGAATCCCAAAGGCAAAAGTGACATTTTAGTTGACAAAACTGTTGCTTTCTGTTCCAGTCATTTATGTACTATGACGTCTGTCTTGACAAGACTGTACCATAAGTAAGGGGGGGGGGGGAGTTACTTTGCTCTATCTTTGGTATTATTTCAGTTGTTGTGGTTCACAATTAAAGCATCGGGTCTCTGGAGTTAATATTTAAAATGTGGTTGCAACAGTTATCTCTAGGAAGGTTTCACATAAATATGACTGTGATATTTAAAGAACAGATCAGATGCAAAGATTTCATTATCGGTGAGTGGAATAACAGCTGTATGTGCAAGATATTGTTTTTAATCTTGGCTAAAAATATAATGCTATTCACAAATCTTTGAACACAAGGATGCGTAGGTTTTCTTTTCTCCTTGCACAGTAATTAGCCATTCCAAGAAGAGCTAAGCAACGTCACATGGTTGCTATGACAATGCTGAGTTTCAGATTTGTAAGCTCTACTTGACAGTATGCATGTGTCACAAGGTGAGGCATATACCACTAGAAGGCAGTCAGGAAAGACAAGATAATATTTTTTTAATCAGTAGATAGATATGACCGTGAAAAGAAAGGAGAGTTGGGGATAACGTTAACTGATTTGGGGACACCAGTCAGTTGGTGACATATCCATAAAAATTTCAGGAAATGTCAGATATAGTAGTTGAATTTGTTTTTCTTTCCTCTGTTTGACTTAAGATCCGAAATCAAGTTCAACTAATTGAGATGGATAGATTTTATTTCTTGATGCACATATAAGACCTGTTGGGAAAGAAACCGGAATAATAAGGACAAGCAGAACAAAGACGCGAAGTATTTCTACACAAGTGACTGTTCAAAGCATCACTGGAGGTAGAAACTTTTTCAATATATGATTTGTGAGGGACATCATCACGGAAGGAGAAATGTTCTTTTTCGCCTATTACAGATTACAGATTTTTGTCTCTAAGAGGTGCCATTTATCAAGCTGCATCTTTGAAGAGCAGAACTACATGCACTGATTGCACTGCAGCATGAGTTTGTTGTTGGAAAGGAAATTAATTAAGTTGCCCAGCTGCTTGACCAAGATTGACTTGCTGTAGCTTACCTAGAGATAAGGAATTAAAAGTATTTTGGAAATGAATGAGAAAAAAAAACACTGCAATGCACCATAATAATGTCAATACACATGTGCTTGGACCCAGCACGTTCAGCTGTGTAGGGAAAAATAAGTCACACCTGGAACAAAAGAGTGCATGGAGACAGAGATTCTGCAGGTGACACATACCCTGAACTAAACACCTGGATATTTTCTGTCATTGGAGAACTAAGTCTGCGGTTGGTTTATGGAATGGAAAAGTGAAACTAGAAGCTGAGAGGGATTATAGCATTTGCGGCACAGATAGACAGCAGAAACGCTTTGAGGATTCATAAGGAAGTCTCTACATAAAGCCACCTTGCTAGTCTGCAAAACCCTAGGCACAACTAGGTTATTGGAAAGCGCTAATATTTCAATACTCTTAAAAGAGCCCTGGCTGTCAACAATTGTTCTTACTAGCCAAGGTGCTATTATTAATGAAATTCTCCCCTTTGATGGCTCAGGTGATAACAATGGGAGATTCAGGATCTGATAACACCAGAGATGGGTCCAGCATTAGCCATCATATCCACTCCTTAGTGCAGTCACTGTAACATTGTTATGGCTGTTAGGTGAAGCCAATGGCATGCTGGTGTGTCTCAGCTAGTTTAATAAGTCTTCTTCTTTAAAAGAGAAAAAAAGATATTTAAGAAGAGGGACCTAAAAACACCAGGCCGAGTTCTAAGTATATTTTCATGCTACATATAGATGCAAAGGCAGAGTGAGATCCAGATACTGACTTATAACATGTCAGTACAATTGTTGGGATTTCGCCACATTAAAAATGAGGTGAGTGGATATGGTCGTCAAGCTAGCAGGGTGCTAAGTTAAGCTAATCAAATTGTTATGGGAGTCACAGGTGGTAAAAAATGGAGGTAAAATAGGTCCAGAATTACAGTCCAGGTATGCAGAACGTGTCAGGTATTCTGTGTAGTTTACCTGGTGCTATGTTCAAGGTAAGACCAAACTTAAGCTTTTAAGTATTCTGTTTACCAAAGGTTATAAGCTAAGAAACTGAAAGTAAACAATGTAATGGGCTGGGTTAGTTTGTGGCTATGAGCCCACTGAAGAGGTCAGGTAAAAATGTAGGTTGAAATTGAATATCTTAAAACAATGTACTACTAAAGGTTGTTTGCGTGTTGAGATAGGTATGAAAAGAGGGCAAGGTGTGTTCCCCATTAACATACATAATCATTATATATCTATATATACATATAATCCAGAGTTATCTGGCATGAATGAAAAGCTGCTCTCGGTTAGTTTTAGTTCAAATTTTTTGGCTGCTTTCCCCCCTTCTCCAAGTAATCCCATTGTATTAGAGACCAGTACTAATTATATTATCAGGTGGTCAATGTTAATAGACACTTGTCATAGAGGAGAGAAGGGTTATGTTAAAAATTCACCATGAATTAAGGGTTTAATCAAATTTTGGTCAAACAATTGGTCAGCTTAATACCTCAGCATTGAGGTAGGTTAATGTGTATGAATGCCATTTACAAATTGCTATCATTTATCAACAGTGGCTTTTGTTTGCATGAAAATAACAATTAAACCAGTTGAAGAGAAATGGGTTTAATGAATTGAAGATGAAATTGAAGCATGAATGTCAGTGACCAAGTACAAATTAATTTGTGCAGGTTGCCATTTAGATTTGCATGAAGTTAAGAGCCTGTGTTGTAAAATGGAGGCCAGGTGTATGGGAGAGGAGAGCAGCCTTTTTTGAGAAATGTTTTTTTTTCAGTAAGCAATATGGAAATATAAAGTAGGATGATATCTTCCTGCATTTCTAAATGTCAGCAGCTGTAATGTCCGATGTCTTATCAAGGGCAGATATGATTTCAAATAACAAGATTGAAAAATAATGGATACGATGTTGTGCATTCATTTGATTATATTACCCTGCACACTTGTTACAACTTACACAATAATTTGTATGTGGAAATACTGTTTGTTGTTACAATAAATTAACATGAATGTATATAAATTACTGTACATTCAATATGTACATTAGATTCTTGCTGTACTGTATATTTATATATTGGTAAGAGGTTAAAAAATGTATATGAATAAAACACATTGTTAAGCTATCAGAGAGTAATGAGAGGTGAATGGTTTTTATATTTAGATGTTATCACCTCCCTCTGTAATGGTCTGTATGAGATAAAACAAAATGCCTGATAATTTGGCCACTGATTGCTTTGCACATGTATGTCCCTTATACAACAGGCATGTACTGCTATTCATTACAACTGTATGTACTTGTTGTAAGAAAAGGCTGGGTTGGAGCACAGTTGCATGTGGATTTTATTCCCAATGGACTGTATGGGTTTCTTAGGTAGTAATTTTCCTGAGGCAGTGTTTTATGTGGACATATTGGTAAGTTGAAGCTTTGCGAAGGCCATTCAGACAATTGCATTATTTCTCTAAAAGAAAACACTTCTTAGGTCCTAAATGGTAGCAAATGATGACCAGAGATGGTAGTGGACTTTATTTCCTTCAGACCAAAGGAAATAAAGTAATTTGATACAAAAAATACTTAAATATATCAAGTATTTTGAATGCTTTGGAAGGAGTAAAATATAAGGCATTGTCAATTTTTTAAAACAAGTTCTATCATTGTATGTCCCATAAGATCACCACTTTCTCTATAACCAGTTATCTAAATTCAGTTTTTGGATCTGGAGTCTAGTGGGAGAAGATGGTGTTTTTATAACATGATTTGTTTATTATATGTCAGTATTACTTAAAATGGTAACATATGGTTTGGTAGGTCAGTCAGTGGTCTTATCTGTAGTATGAGGATCCTTGCCACAAATTAGTCATGTTACAAGTGAGGGGTTATTTGTGCTGTAAACCACAGACTGAGTAACAATTTTGATGCAGTTGAAAAAATATTATTTAGACAATTCTTAGTATTAAAGCATTTGTTCCTTAAAACATTGTGAAAATGGGTGAAAAAATTTAATTTGAACTTGCCTCGTCATGTTTTACAAAATGAAAAAAATACTTAAAATAAAGAAAACAGTTAAACATATTTTAGATGATCTGACTTGATTTTTTATTATTTATCAGAGAATCTTCATGAGAAAAGATCTGAAAAGTATTGATGTAAGCTGAAAAGCACTGAGAAAATTGTCATGGATACATATACCATATGTAAGACGGGAATGATTTTAAAACTGTAAATTACATGTCACGATGCTGCTCATATTATCTACTCCTGTTATCGGTAATACCAGCAGAAATATCTCAACTATTTATATTACAATGATTACAATGTACCCACTGTGTGAACCCTCACCTTAGGATATTCCAGTACTGGGATACTGGCTGTGTTGTATTATATAGAGAAGTGAGATGACAACATAAGCCTGATTGATGGATTCAAACCAGGAGAACAAGCTTTCTGGTCATCAGCATTAATTAATTGCCTCTTATCTTGTGAGAATAGTCAAGCTTGGTGATTGTCGCTTTGGGATTTATTAAATTGATATACTAGATGTCGATTTCAGAAAGAAAATTGATAGAAAAAAATATGAAAACTGTTTGGAGATGTCACAGTTTCTGTGTAAAGGCCCCTCTGTATGTGTATGTGTGTGTCTGCATGCGCGTGCATGCTACATGTGCCTCTTAGGATGTTTTAGAATAATAGGAAGGAAAAATTACATATGCCATAAGTAATGATAAAAATCTGCTATTCATATACCACACTACACTTTTTATTAGGCTAGTCAACAATATTCCCACCTCCCTGGGGAGGATATACATAGATATTGTGTCTATCTTTTTCTCACTTTATTGATTAGTTGACAGGTTGACCGATTGATTAATTGGTTGATTGAATTCTATTTTTGTAACACATGCATTTTTTTCCGTATCTTTGAAGGAGTTTGGTGATAATATGGAGGAGAAGGATACATGTGAGGGCCCTGAAGAAGGGGAGGAAGATGCAACCCCAGAGCCAGCCGTAGACGATCCTGAAGCTGTCAAGAAAAAGTATTTACAGAAGCGACAGTAAGTATCTTACACTTGAGTTGTCTGTAGAAATGATTGTGAAAAACAGTGAACTGTTATGTATTTTATGGAGGTAGGTAGATAGATAGACAGACAGACGGACAGACAGACAGACAGACAGACAGAGACAGCGAGATAATGCAGCTATGTGAGTCGCAATAAAAATTATAATGATGCAGATTATATCTCGAATTGAATGATAGTTTTGTTAGTGAGTTACTGTTTCACAATTATTTTCAGGTATGTTGTGCTGGAGTTAATAGAAACAGAAAGGGACTATGTCAAAGATTTAGGGTCAATTATAGAGGTAAGATGACACTAGGTTAGAATTGGGCCTTATCATGTCCTCTGTGTTTTTTTGCAGGGGTTTTTGGAGTTTAAAAATCTGAAATCAGATGATTCTTATGTATTAATTTCCCACAGGGATAAAACTCAAGTTGTTTCTTAAACATAAATGCTACCCATTAACAATACTAAAATACCTTACAGTGATTTTGCAATAGTCTTCTCTTTCTATTATTTTCAAAAGATCTATAAAAAACTCATCCTGATAGAATAACAGATAAATGGCCTGACATTTAGGATGTATTGATTATAAATGATTATATATTGATATTTGTAAATTTAATCCTGTTATTTTATAATTCAGGGTTATATGGAGGAAATGAAACAAGGTCATTTGCCAGAAGACATGGAAGGCAAGGATAAAATGATCTTTGGGAACATTCAACAGATATTTGAATGGCATAGAGAGTAAGTGGTTTCTGGTTGTAAATTAAAACTAAGTTGTTATCAGCAGTGTGTCTGTAAATGTGGCATAATCTACCATTACTTACTAAATTTCTTTATGGCTGGTATTGTGTGTGTGTGTGTGTGTGTGTGTTTTCCAATTTGTGAAATGAGAGAAAAAGGTGCAAAATTTTTCTTGAATTGATATTTGTGGTAATATTGTTTACTTGCCTGAAAGAAAACTTACTAGCTGCTCTTTCTTATAATTATTATGTTACTTCTTTTTTCAGCACATTTAGCAAAGAACTAGAAAAATGTGCAGATGAACCTGATAGGATAGCACTGAACTTCATTAGATATGTAAGCAGATGTTGATTTTTTTTCTTTAATGAGAGTTTTTAGAAGCTGCAGAGCATTCTTTGAAAAACTCATTAACTGTGAGTTTGGATTAAAACATCACATTGATAAAGCAAGAGATAGAATAATTATTATCATTTTGTTTTATATAGAAGCATATGAAAACCAAAGGATACACCCCTAATCCTTGCCATAGGTCATTTATTATTTTTTTATCAGCAGTATTTGAACTTATAATTTTTCTTCACTGTCAAGGTTTCTTGAGTGTTTTTTTTTCTGTTACAGGAAAGAAGGCTATATATGTATGTGAAATACTGTGAAAATAAACCCAAGTCAGATTTTATAGTAGCAGAATTCTTAGACACTTATTTTGAGGTAAGTATTATACAAACATACCAGGTAAATATGACTCTCTGCTGCCTCTTCCCCAAATGAAAATAAAATATTTATTTATTTATTTTTTAATTTCATGATGGGCAATCATGATCGGAAAGGGAAAGCAATTTTTTAGCTGAACTGTGCAATTTTCTCTTTATTTATCATAATCTGATTAGACTTCATCAAAGAACAAGGTTACCAAATCATGCCTCTGCCCACGAAACTGTTCTCTTACTTAAAACTTATGTTAATTAATCTTAAATTTCAGACACAAACTTCTACCATTGTTTTATTTTTTCAAGATTTAAAAGTTAAGTTACTCTCAAAAATATGCTTTCTTGCATGAACCCAAATTGCTTTTTCAAAAGATTTCAAAACATCTTCAACTCTTTTTCGTATATGATTGTCGAAAAATTCTTTTGGAATTGTTATGAAAGGATATTGTTTATTTTATTTAATTATTAATGTCTCCAGAATCTGCAAGAAATGCTTTCAGTGATATATCTGGTTTTATTTGTAGGAATTGCGACAGAAATTGGGACACAGGCTCACACTACCTGACTTACTGATCAAGCCAGTCCAAAGAATTATGAAATATCAGCTTCTGCTCAAGGTATGTTGTGGGTATGAAACTTAGAATGCACATTATGATGCGGTTTATAATAAAGCTGGGATCTTAAGGTGCAGCTAGCTTTTTTTCTGAAATAATGTTTTACTGATCCTTTACTACTGTTCGCTGCTGTGAGGAAATATAGTAAATTGGATTGGGTAAAATGTGTAGCTGAGGATAAAGATATTACACACACTAAAGCATACAGAGATTTCTTTTGAATTTTTTTTAGTAGATAGATATCAGTAGTAAGTGTAGCATTGGAATAAATAGACAAAACGGAATACTGTAATTATTACTGCCATCATTGTCAACCAACCCCTTCTTTCTTTTGAATTATTTTCATATTTTTTTCTTTTTTTCTTTTAACCTCAGGATATAATGAAACATACTCAGAAAGCAGGTTTGGATACCAAAGACCTGGAGAGAGCCCTGGAGGTGATGAGAGTGGTTCCTAAGGCTGCCAATGATATGATGAATGTGGGCAGGCTACAGGGATTTGATGTAAGCACGGCCATGTCAGCCCATAGACTTGGGGGTGGGGCTGGGGAAGTGGCCCATTCTGAATCAGTTGTTCTAGGTTCTAAGACATTTCTCTTGTTGGGTCGACCAGGGGGGGAAAGAAAAGGTTTACTTTTTCAGAAGTAATAAGATCCCCAAATTGCTGGCTACAGGGGTGCATTTTATGGCACACTCTAGCATTTTTGTTTTAGTGAATCTTCTGGTCTTTTCCATAATAAGAGCTCTCAAAGCAGAAACCTACCATACACAAAACATGGTTTGTAAAAGTTCTTGGCTCTAAAATAGAGTGTTTGCCTTAAGATTTAGAATAAATCTTCTCAGTGTAATAGTATTTGACTTAAAACATTTATCAACAGAACTTGATAGTACTCCATAATGTTATGAGAATAGAATTTTTGATTTTCTGGTCTTAATAGTTCTCTTTATATTTTCAGGGGAAAATTACAGCACAGGGAAAACTATTGCATCAGGTATATATATATATAAACAGTATTGTCTTTGATAAAAAACATACTTGTGGATGTGTTACTGGGAATGATTTTAATCTTTATGCCTCATGCACACAATAGATTAACTGTTCTAGATAACCTTTTGAATCAAGGATTTTGGCATATATGCCTAAAGAGATTAAAATATTTTACAGCAGGTTGTCAAATGTTCACATGATATTTTCAAACAGTAAAGCATGAACCTGTGGATTCTCCTTGATTGGATGAATTGCCTTGATTGGTTGATTGATTGATTGACTGACTGACATATTGATTAACTGATTGATTGGTTGATCACTTAATTGATTAATCAATCAATAGACCTGCTAATATAGAAAATAAGTTCCAAAATATGGTGAGCATAAAATCCCTCGTTGTTTCAGGACACAGTCCAGGTGGCCGAGTTTGTTCCTGGAGGACAACATAAGTTTAAAGAACGCAGAGTTTTCCTGTTTGAACAGATCATTATCTTCAGTGATATGATTGATAGAAAGAAGGGGAACATCTCAAATCCAACTTACATTTACAAGAACAGCATAAAAGTAAGTTCACTTTTCAGGTTATATGTAAGTGATGAAAAAAAAAGGTAGAAGTTGTTTAATCCTATTGCAGCCTTAAACAGAACAACTTAGTAGATAAACTTTCAAATCTACACCCATTTTCAGCAGATTAATTGATTTATAATCCTCTGTAAATGGTATTTGTGCCACTTGATTTTATGTTTTATAACATATACAGTGATAAGGTCATTGGCTTACTTCCTAGTAAAGAGAACAAGAGAGCAGTATAGTATACAGTTACGAGTAATATCAAATAGTCATACGAATTAAAATTATATTGATGTACTTCTAGAAAAAAATCAGTTCGATTTTACATAATGTATCTATGCACCCTTATAAATAATAGATTTCTCATAAGGACAAGAAAGATGATTCCAGTCATTTTTAGAGGTTGTCAAGGGTTATAAAATGTCTCTTTTTAAAATCAATGATATACAACTGACATATTTTATTTCTCTTTAAAAGGTCAATAAAATGTCGCTCATTGAATCCATAGAAGATGAACCCAATTGTTTTGTCTTGGTGGATAGAGCGCCAGGCTCTGACGCCAGGTGGATACTACAAGCTGCAGGCACGGAGCAGAGAGACATGTGGAACAGTCTCATACGACAAATTTTAGACATGCAGGGAGATTTTCTGAGAGGTAAGCATTAAGTCCTGTAAGATTTTCAACAATTACTTGTTGACCTTACCTGGGTCCATTCTTAAATACAGATGCCTTTTTAGTGAGTTTGATTTTTTTTTCTTCTGGGCATAAAGAACTTGTTTAAAAAAGTCTGAAGTTAAAAAATGAAGAAAAGCCCAGTAGAGTAGGAAAACATCCTCATAAATTAATCATATCTTTGTTTTATATGGAGGTTGCATAGAAACTGGTGAAAAAAAAAATCCCAATTTAAGCTTTTAAATTTGATCCTCATACAACATAATGAATGTGATATACTGTTACTGTTATCTGTTATGAATTGAAGTCACAAAGCTGTTGAAGGCTTAAGGTTGGTGCATTGAGTGATATTTTAACAAAATTCTATTTGATGTTTGAGTTTAAGGAAATTTTGAGAAGTAAATTTGTTGTGGGTACATAACTTTGTGATTTTTTTTTTTCTGTTTGATGTGAATACAGTATCTTAAAAAAAAATTGAAGAGGATCCAATATCCTGTGTGGACTTTGTCATGGAACCCATATCTTGTGTGAACAGTGAAACTTTTTTTTTTGATAAGATTATAGTGGTAGGCAAACTAAACTTATAGACCCAAAACTATTGTATATAGAATATGAATTTTAATAGCTGAATTTCAGACAAAAAGATTACATTTCAGTGGCATATTTTAAGTTGAACGGATTTTACTGTTGTTATGTTTGATGTGAACAGAGCTTACTTGAAATTACGTTCATTTATATAATATATTAAACATTGTTATAAATAATGTGCAAATTTGAAAACATTTTTTTTAAATGAATCCTGTATTGTGAAAATTGTTTTTGTATAACATTCCTTATCCTATAACTTTGTATCAGGGATTATGGTATACAATTACATAAAGGCTTTAATTCATGCATGATTTTTTTTAGATATATTTTACAGTAAATTCACTTTCATTTTCAGCATTGCAATCACCAATAGCCTACCAAAAAGAACTCACAAAAGAATTGTAAGTATAGACATAATAACTGCAGTCCTATGCTTTAAATTATTTGTTATTATTATTTTTTTTTTGCTTTACTAAAATTAACAGCATGCTCTTGCATTTTGAAGCAATTCAGTCATCATTTATTCAAACATTTATTTTTTTTAATAGGTATAAAAAATTTTTTAGTAAAATGTTGGGTTTTTGTATACTAATTTCCTGCCATTCTTGTGAAAGATAATTGCTCATTTCTGATATGCTCTATAGATTATCCTGGGCCAATGCTAGTATAACTTGTTTTTCTAATATATCTAAACATTTTTTAAAACTGAACTTATGGACCTTTGGAGTGTTAAATGGGCGTGGAAATAATAAAATGTGTTTTTTTTTCTTAAACATTACTATAAAAAAAAAGAAACTTAACCCATTCACTGCTAGCTTCAGCCCGGTTGTAAATATGGTATTAACAGTTAACAATTACTGCATGGTATGCATATTGACACATTTGTATTCCAGGTCTGCTCCTGATATTGGTAGTTTAACCAGGAACAGTGCTCTGCGGAAGACGCAGTCTTCACCAGTCAGTCCGCCGCCATTAGGAACATGCTCAGAATGTGGCCAAGAGGATAATGGGACAAGTAAAGATAAGAAAAAACATTCACGATGTCGTTCAATACCAGGACCTCTGCCAACGCCAGATTCAAAGAGAAATGATGAAAATCGCCAGCACAAAGCTTCATTACCCAATTCTCCGGTGGAAAGAACTGCATCATCCTCTATACCACGTCCCAAACATTCTTCAGTTTCACATCACGATGATGCAAAGAAAACCCACTCTTTGCCTCATTCCAAAGAAGTCAAAAGTAACAAAAAGAACCTTTTTGAAGGATTTTTCAGTGGTTATAAAACTAAAACCTCTCCCAGATCAGAGGGGGGTGGAGGGCCCAAGAGCCCTACTGACTTACACCACAGTGGATCAATGCCTGATATTATTAAAGACAGTGACAAGCAAAAAACACCACAAGAGAACAGTAGAGAAACACAAGAGGATGGAAGCTCTCCTGTAAGTGGAGACTAAGTTGCATGCTGCGGGTTCGGAAATATGAGTTGCAACATATAAACTAGATGATAACTGGTTGGCTGAAAAGTAGTGTCATTGCTAGCAAACGGCTTTTTGCTAACTGATCCAATTCCATCTTTTGAAGAAAAAAACAAACATCTTTTTTAAACGAAATGTTAACACCTGTTTAATTTTGAGAACATCTTTTGTTGGTTCTGATGCCTGAAGATGACTCTTCTCTATCAAGTGAATATCTGAGGCAGTGTGTTAAAAACTCAAAACAGAAATACATCATGGTAAAGTTTCTACCATCTTCCGATAGATCCGTTTAACTTCCTGCTATGTTTTAGTGACAGTGTCAACTGTGTTTAGATACTTTTTTTAGTGTAAAGCAATCTGCATGACATGGTTTGGATGGAGACAGGGTTCAGACTCAAAGAGAAATTTGTGATGGTGGTCTGAAGTCGTTTCATTAAATAAAATGCTTTTAACAAATCTAAGGCTATGTCTGAAGCAGCCGCAATTTTCTCTGTGATCGTAGAAAAGTTTTTACACCATGTAAATGTACATTTGATAATTATATTGTTAGAAAGAATAATGTACAAACTTTCCGACTCATTCCATGATGTGCAATTTACTGTAGATCAGCATACAATTTTCTCTCTAACAGCAACATACAAACCAAGCTAATGTTGATGTAGACAGTTAAGTAGTATGAGTGGTTCGAGTTCTCTTATGTATTTATTCTCTTTGAGTCTTCTATAGTTGTATGATACCATTTTCAGTGTTCCTTTTAATGCAAATAAGTCTTCTGCAGATGTTTGTTTTTCTTATTCTACTCAGGCGTGTCAAGATGTATATGTTCAATAAATACTGTGTTGAAAATAAAAAAAATACATGTGACCAAGTTTGAAAAGACAGACTAAAAGTTTGTGTTTTTCCCTTCACTTTTTATAGACTGAGAAATCACCAATCTTAGCCAAGGCCTTAGTGGACTATACTGCCGTTAAAGAGGATGAAATCTCCTTGCTCAAAGGTGAAACTGTTCAAATTCTTGCCACCAACCAACACAATATGTGCCTGGTTCATAGAACGGCCAATGAAAATTCGCCGGCTGCCGAGGGATGGATTCCTGGACATGTGATTGGACGGAGGGACTCTGAAAGTACAGGGTACGGGCGCTTCATTCGTAGCAGCACTAACCCTTACCCATTTTTGGTACCTAATTGACTTATTCTCAAAATTTACCCATATTTTTGCATCTTATTTTTTTGCGGAGATTGTGATCAAATTTTTATTGATTGGTGATGGGCATTGTTTGGCATGTCCCTTCCCTCCTTGCTTTAAACACACAAAGCATGCAGTAAACAAATAGGTTTGTTCACCAGCGATTGCAAGCAGGCAATAACAGTTTTAGATATCTTTTTAAACTTTTGCAGTAATAATTTTAAAAAAATGAAATGAAACACCTATAAGATATTAGGATTAACTAACCCCACTAAACATTATGCACATTTCCCTAAATACCTCTACATGTTTTCAAACTTAAGTTAAACTTAAGTTGTGCTTGTTTATGATAATAAATTTCTTTTTTATTTTTCTTTAATTATAGATCTATCTGTTATTACGAAACATTTTAAAATGCCAATGAAAATAAGATTTTACCAGAACTGCATATTTACATCTTTGGTCCACATTGGTTCAGTCTGCCGTGACATGACTTGCACACTGTCAATAAATCTGATAATTTTTTTAAAAATTGTATGACTTGATGAAAAGAGCTAACTGCTGTTTCATTTTGTTTGAAATAAATATTTGTGTGTTATTGTAGTTTTCTCTTGCAGTAAAACAGTAGTTAATAATTACACAATGTAAGATTTTATGAAATCATGATTTTACTTGAAAGCAATCTTTTATAAGTTATCTCAAAAATGTTCTTCACTTAAACCCATCTCACAATTCGGAATTTACCAATCATTTTTTAACATTATTTTTAATTTATTATTATTATTATTTTTTTTTTTTTTTTACTTAAATGGAAATACAATCAGTTTTGTAAGAAAAATCAGGACTTTGAATGAAACTTGGAATAGACCGTTGCACATCATCAAGCAGAAAGTGTGATTGACAAAGAATGTTAGCAAAATCTCTGTAATTGTGCAGTTTCACAAAGCTTTGGTCTCATGAACTCGCAACAGTGGCAGTGTGATTTGCAATATTTTACAGAGCATTTGTACCAGAGATCCAACAGCTGAACCTGTGGCCTGTTTCACAAGCTGTAGCCAAATCTGTTTTTCACTTATAGTACAAAATTTAACTTCACCCTAACACGAGGTAAATTAGTTAGCAGTAGTCCAATTAAATAAAATATTGAACCTGTTTTTAGCATAGGAGTCTTAAATGTTTCAGACGAATACCTGTTGCAATTAAGTGGCCTTTGTAAAATTATCTTAAACTAAATTTGGGTCTAAAAATTTCGGACCAGTTATTGGGCCATAGCCATTATTTGAACCTGACTCCTGGTTGTCAGTTCACAAATTTTTGGAGAGACTGACTCCCAGCTTGTCTTGTGATGTCAATTAGTCTATTTCTGGTCCAGGTTAGTTCTGATGTGAACAGGGCTTTAGAAGTTGCACATCAACAAACATTAGAGGTAGGAAGAATAAAATTCTTGATTTATCAAATAAAACTTTCTTTTTCCAATCACTGGTATTAGAATTTAAAATTTGAATGCAAACTTAGATTGAAATAATTTAGTTTGTAGGTACAGTAGCATGTCTGTTCAAAGTATGAAAGTTCATGCTTTTTTGGTCAACTTTGCATTTTTGTAACTAGCTTTGATTAGTCATGAGAGAGGTCTTGGCAATTTTAATTAAAGTCACACAAAACTTTGTATTGGTTTACAGATTTGGGGATTGGTAATATTTCTACCATACGAATGAGAAAAAGGTTTTCCTATGGAGACCCTGGGCACAGTTTGACAGAAGAATCTCCAACTGAACAATTATCTTCATTTTTAAGCAATTTACTTTACTTTTAGGCAGTATAAATATGCACTAGAAGAATTTTAAGATGACGCAGTATTTTGTTTAAGATATTTCCTATGATGATTTATTGAAACATCATGGATGTATGCATTCTGCCTAAAGTACTTTGATTTTATTGTCTTAAAAGTATGACCAAATGTTGTCCATTATGCCAAAAAGTTCTTGTCATGTATGCTTTGAGATATATATTTTCTTTATCATTATCATCTCTGCGATACCATTACTTAAAGCTTTAGTTGATTAAAGTTGACCAGATTATTGAGATTTTCTCATGTGCACTTCATTTTATACTTAGAATATTCAAAGATTAAGTGTGTGTTCAGGGTGAAATTCTCCCCTGAAGAGATACCTGAACATATCTCTAGTGTTGATTAATTCTATTATCCAGATGTGCCTTGAATTCAAAATATTTTTTGGGAGGAGGGGGAGGATTAAATTTGTTTCAGTGCACAATTATCAAATTCTTTATTCTTCAGTTATGTTAGTGGCAGTGGATTCAAATTATCCAGGTATTTTATTTTCCAACTGAGATGTATATTTCAGCTTTACCAATGCTTTTTTATTTTTTGCTTTTGTTTTTTACTTTTCATAGTTTTGATACAATACATTAAACAATTTTGATGAGACATTATCCACATAATTATATGTATAGATATCAATTGGCATTACAGTAAAACTTGGCACCAGGGGCTGAAGCTACGAAAACCAAGCTGGGGTAAGAAGCAGAAAGAGAAGGGTGGAAGTCTGGACCGCAGGCTTTTCACAAGACCCAAAGATACTCAGCAAGCTGTTAAGGTACAAGGCTTCCACAGTGTACGTTTGGTTTGCTTTTCACGTTTCCTTCCTTTTGTGCAAGTAAGGCTGTTTTCACATCGTGCATTACATATCTAAATTGAAATACTTATAGAGGTTGCCAGCTTTAGGCTTGCTATTAGATAAGAAAGTACACACACACAACACGCGCACACACACACACACACACGCGTGCACTCTCACACATGCTCACACACATAAACACACTCAAAACAGCCCTTTAATGGGATTAATTTTGTTTGGTCCAAATAGTTGGAGGCAAATGAGGCAAAAGAATTTTTAAAAGCCCAAAACATATGTAATAGTGTTTGTACCATGTAGTCTGTGCTCTGATGTCAATACATGTAGCACATGATGTGAAAAGAGCCTAGCTGTGTCCAGGGCTCCGTAACTCGAAAGCATCGCGAATAGCGATATCACCTTTTATTTCGAGGCTATTATATGGGGCAAGTAAATCCCGAGTTATGGAATAGAGACACTTGCGCTCGGTCACAATTCGTGATGCTTTCAGCCAAGGCCCTAGGCCTGCAACCAATGTTGCTAGCTCAGAAGTACAGTTTATTATTTAGATTTACTTGTGTTCCTATAAACCTGTGTGTTTTATGAAGGCATGTTCACTTTAGGACCACATTTCACTAAACTGAAGTCGAAAATTTGGTCCAAGTTTATCAAAAACCATCTACTTTCATTCAGGAGAAATCAGTAGCCTGTTTGAATGAAAATAATGTGGCCTTTTCACAAGACATCCTATTAACATGATTCACACTGACTTAAGTTGACTGGAAACAGAACTTGGGTTAAACCTGATGTAAACATGCCTTTTGACTCTTGAAACCCCTGGCAAGTAACATTTTGTTACCCTGTTATCATTTTTCTGTCACCAATTCACCTAAAATACCTCGCTCTTTAAATATGAATTTTTATGTACAGACAAAGTGTATCTGCACATTTAGCCATCACCTGCATCTGTTGTCATCGGTGTTATCATCTGCGTGTGGCTATATACTGTTCACTTTTAATGCAATTCAAGGAAGACTGTGTGACTTATTATCCTTAAACTGTTGTTATCATTGTATCTCCATAGTTTTTCTAGGATTAGTGTTGCAATACTATCGTGGTCTTATGTCCATTATAATTTTATCTGCATGCTTTTTCTGTTGGTGTTGCCTTCAACAGGTTCCCAGTTCCACAATATAGCAGCCCACCAATTGTATGCATGTTTCCCATTCATTTTCAGATATCTTGCAGGCAAGACTATTCATTACATAACTCAAAAAAAAAAATATATATATATCATTTTTTTAATTTTCAAATTTCTGTATTGTTGGTTTTCTTTCCTTTTTATGTACAGACACAGATGTGTCTGTACATATAGCCATCATCTGCGTCTGTCGTCGCCGTCGTCGCCGTCGCCGTGCACTTTTACCGATAACACAATAAGTGGAAAACCGTTTTACCTTTTGACTTGAAACTTNCACTTATTTGCATCTTTATTTTCTGTTCTTTGTCTGTACATTTGACAGCTTTGCTGCCTTGTTCGTGTTTAACTTCAAAATTTACAAAAAAGGGAAATTATTCCAACATCTTCTTGTAATTGATTTATATATGTAAACCAATTAAGCCATATGGCATTTCACATCTTTAATTCTTGTTATACAGCTCCTAAATCCAGACTTCATGTATGAAATTCCACCGAGTTTTAACCAGCCTCTGTGTGACGTCACGGTTCGAAAAGGCGATGCTGCCCTGTTCACATGTCAGGTGTGTGGCCGTCCCTGGCCAGTGGTCACTTGGAAAGGCCCAGATCACAATATTTTGTCCCCTTCTGCTGATACCACAATTAGTTATGATGATGAGGGCAATGCTTCACTCAAGGTATCTACAATACCCTTGCTGTTGTATTACTTAATGTTTTACTTATGAACACTTTACTTAATTTTTTGGCAGTTTTATACCCCAAAAAAACCCCAGCTCTTCATAAAAATCCTCACAAGTTTTCAAGTGCTTAAACTGAAAAGCCCCCAAAAAGCTTGATATTCTTTCATGTATGAAGTCCTCTATTTCTAACAGTAAGAATTGTTATGGATGTAATAGTTGTCATTGATGTTCTTGTTTCACAGCTCCATCGTGTAACAACTCAGCAGAGTGGAGAGTATACCTGTGTTGTCAGCAGTGAGGTGGGCTCTGAAGTTAGCATAGCACAGCTTACTGTTTTAGGTAAGAACCACCAGGTGGCAGGTTTGAATTGAGGTCAGAGGTCACAACAAAGCCCAAATTTCAAGCACCACCAGATGGTAGTTACATGTATGTTTTTGGATCAAAGGTTAGGCATTGAAGCTCATGCCTGATGTTGTATGCAGCTGGTACGTTGAAAGGGCTAGATTGTGTTCGGCTCCTTATGAGATGTGGGAATGTGGTGGTTGAGGATATAAGTTGTGGTAAATGATCCAGGTTGTGTTAAGATTGTGACAGATATTCCTTGAAGACTGTATTATATCTTCTTGATCAAACATAGCTTTCATGTATTGCAGTATTACATCTTAGAATTTCAAAAGCATATGTGACCAAAGGCCTTATATTAAGGACCTAATCATTAGTTTTTTGTCAGTAAAGATATTTCTGGTAGTGTATGATTGTTGTTTATTGTATGTAATATCCTGTAAATTGATTGGTTAAAATACTGTTGTATTTTTCCAAATTATCTGTTCATTTGGAATATACAGAGATATTCCAGTTTACAGAGCTGTGTCATAGACTTATCTCTTTTTGGCACCAGCTAAATAACTTAAATTTTGGCCATAGGCAAACTCATGGAAAATGAATCACTGCAGGTTGATATAGACCCAAATTGAATAAGCAACTATGGGATGACTAGTATTACCATGTTTATATTTTCAGATGTGCCAGACCCCCCTGGAATGCCAGTGATTACCCTGCAGAAGGGGGCCTCTGTCCAGCTGGATTGGATGCCTCCACATGCCACAGGCAATGCTCCAGTACAGGGGTATACTGTGGAATTTACTGAACAAGGTAAAGGGGATATAGATATTGGGGTGTACCTGGCAATGGGTTTATACAGATATTTGGGTATTGTATTTATGCCCCTGGCCTACCATATTGAGCTGCATGTGGAGCTTTGGTGCTTGCATTTCCTGGATTTTTTTTAAAGGTCCTCTTCCATCTCTGTTCAAAGATATATTCTGAAAATATTTCACAAATAAAAAAGCTAATGTTCATGCTGTGAAGATGAATGTTTCGTAAGTTTCCACCATACAAAAAGATCACCTAAATGTATATCCTTTGAATTTAATTATACAGATTAATATCTATATTGATTCAGAAATATTGAAATAATTCAGCAATTTTAAAAAATGTGTAGTTGTTTGAAAAAATCCATTTCATCATATAATTTTATTTTTACCAAAAACCATTATTTTTCTCACTTTGAATTGTCTGTTTTGGGTAACTTTTCACTATGGTATTACATGTTTATACCTATAAATTTTTTACATAGTTTGATTTAAGTTGTAAATTAAAACCTGCTAGCAAATTATCAATTTTTTCATTAGTCACATTTATTCATCTTTAAGCTTGAACATTTCTTTTTATCCTTCTTTGCTGTTTTAAGTTAGTATCTACTATTTCTCTTTCTCAAACCCATGCATGTATCCTACCATGGTTCTATTTCAGGTGTCAATCTCTGGCAGGCTGCCACCCCATTCGTCCCCAGCACGCATCATGTGATCTCTGATCTCACTCCAGGCTCCACCTACCAGTTTCGCATCAGTGCCCATAATTCCATAGGGATCAGTGAACCTGGCCCCCCCTCACAGCCTGTTACCATTAACGAATCAGGTTGGTGTGCTATGAACACAGGGTCTTTAATCAAAAACAAAGACACAATTTTAAATTAAATTATGTCTTATCAGACCAAATGAATTCAAAGTAAATTTAACCATTACTTCAAGAGGAAAGCCTCTTCTAAAAGGTTTCTCTAATTTTGAGTTCTAGACATGAACAAATCAAAACACAGCCTGTAACCATTAAATGAAATTGGCGTTATTATCATGTTTTAACTTGTTATGTAGGTAAAAGTATAGTTTGTCATAATTGTTTTATTTTATTTATTTTCTTACTCATTGGTGCACTTTGATAAGTCTCAGTCATAAAAATAAGTTCCAGTAGGTGGTAACTTAAAAATTTAAGGAAAAACATATTACAGGATACATAAGTCAGATGTAGATGGGGTGCAATAGTACCTCTAAATCTGGTCACTACAGTAATAGGTCAAACAATTCAAACAATGTAATGTCTGACCAAATAAATTATTTTCTAAACACCTAGAACATATGTCAAAGTCATGTGACGGATTTTTTCTTGTTTTGATTTTTCGACCATAGTGTCGTATACTCAGTACCACTCTTAAGGGCATGAGGTTTATTTTCTTTAGAAAAATGTATTGATGTGCCTTTCCCAAAGCTTTACCCTGTAAGCTTTTTGTTGCTTCAGGCATCAGATCTGAGAAAGTGAACAAAGGAAGAAACCTTGCCCCTCCCAAAACCTCCATTGAAAGTTTTGTCTTTGATAACGCCGCACAAAAACTAACAACTTTTTTATTATGGGTACATGAAAGTCAACCACAAACCTACAAGTGACAACTTCCTTCCACCTGTGCTGTGAGAAACTACCAGATCAGTAATTTTTGGTTTATATTTGGAGACAGTTGATAACAGTTTCATTTTTATGTGTATCTTGCAGATTCTTCAACTCTAAAAGATGAGAGCATTACAGCAAAATGGAAAGCTACCTATGCAAAAGACTACACTGAATTGGGTGAACTTGCAAGGTAAATTGTTTACAGATTTAAAAAACACTAACTCAATTAGCAACTTTAACAAGGCATCTGATTCACAGTGCAAGTGATTTTTTATGGTGTTCTTTTCTATATCATTTCATTTACCTCCTCATATCAATATTATGCAGATGGGTTATAAAAACTTGTGGTAGCAATAACTGATCACTTATGACAGTACAATGGAATTTGTTTAAAACAACTTCAAAATCATTAACTTTGGACCCAAAAGTTGCTACAGTATCAGTGGCAAATATTGTTCCACGCATACACTGTATATATACATGAATGAAGCATAAAACAGGTTCCATTTTAACTCCTCTTAAATGGCATGTATGCATCTTGTTTTAGGGGCAGATTTTCTGTGGTGAAGAAATGTCTTCAGAAGTGTTCAGGGCGTGATGTGGCTGCAAAGTTCATCAGCAAGAAAAAACTAAGTAAACAGAATGCTGAGAATGAGTTCACCACTTTGATGGGTCTCCAGCATGTTCACCTATGCAGTGCCATGGACCTGTATGATACTTCTAAATACTTTGTTATCATTCTTGAGTTGTAAGTATTTATAATGTTTCTAATTCTGATTGCAAGTTGGATGATTTGTTTGTTTTTATGTAGATTAACCCTAAATGGAATATTCAAGCCTTAAGACACAACTTTCAGAATTTTATTTGATTTCAGCAATAACATACAGATAACCTTTTCTTAATCCACCCTGGTATAATTCCAGACCCTAGCCTGCTACTGGCCTGGTTATAGCCAGAAGTTTCTGAAAAAGTGGACCTTCGCCCTTTTTTGACCCAAATGAGAAATTACATAACCTACATGTAGATTACATTTTGATTCAGAGCGAACCTTTTCCATCCATAATGGCATCTCTTTCTAACCCCCTTAGCCTACTAGTACATGCCTGCAGACATGAACTCACTTGAACACAATGTGTTTCAGGCTGCCCAGTGGAAGGCTGTTTGACTACATCTGCAGTCGCCCCACCCTGGATGAGGTACAAGCAGCTTGTTATATTCGACAACTGCTGGATGTCATCCAGTACCTTCACAACTGTAGAATTGCACACCTGGACATCAAGGTAAGAGTTGGCTGTCTTCAGCATCAAACATATATGTCAAGGTAATGATAGGTCTCACAGATTTTAAAGGCATACAATGCACATAACATGTAGCTCTTTATGTAGCAAATAAAAAAATAATAAATAGATAAATACATATATTCCTGGAAATTTCAACAATTTCAATAATCACATTCATGTTCGACACTTCCAAAACTGTTGAGAAAAAGATCTGCTGGGGTATACGTCCTTACTGCATCTTAACATCTTATATATATATAATAAACAAACAAATTCCTCAATTTGTAGCCTGAAAACCTCTTAGTAGACCTGACCAGTATGACACCACGGCTCAAGCTAATAGACCTGGGTGATGCCCACCACATCCACAACAGCTACTATGTCCACCAGCTAGTGGGCAGTCCAGAGTTTGCTGCCCCAGAGTTGGTCAAGGGGATCCCAGTGGGGTTGCTGACAGATATATGGTATACTACCAACTCTGTTGTGTCATATTTTGAATGTAAAATATCTAAACATTGGGTAGAATACAAGAATGTAAAATATCTAAACATTGGGTAGAATACAAGGATGAGTCAATCGAATAGAAGAGTGTTTACACCCTCAGTTATGCTACATTGTAACTGTTTGAATCACCTGTTATTAGGTGAATACATGTACATGGTTAAAAAGTGTAGGAGTATGCTTGATATAGGTAATTAAGTTAACATTAAGAATCAGGTTACCCCACTTACAAGCTCTTTGGAAAATGCCCGTAACAGTTGATTCAAATTAAAATCTAACACAATTTCACAATAACTTTATACTTAAAAGCTGAAACTTTAGGCTTAAACTTATAGGATTTGAGTGTGTAAAAGATCCACTGTATTTTACAGGGGTGTTGGTGTGATTATCTATGTGATGTTGAGTGGAGTGTCACCATATCTGGATGAGAGCCTGGAGGAAACGTGTTCCAATATAGTTCACAACGACTACTGTTTCCCAGAAGACTACTTTGAGGGAGTGTCTCAGGAGGCCAGGGATATCATCAAGTTGATGCTGGTCACTGATCTGAGGTAAGAAATTATTCATTATTATCAGGTGTACAGCACTGTTTCAATTTCACAGATGATGTCTGCTTCAGGAAAATACTTAATAATACCATTATTCACCATATTTCTTTGTATTCATTGGTAGGGGATCCTGTCTATGCAACCAAAATTTACATATTAAAATGGCAAATGTTTAACCATGAGTTTCCAGCATGTCAGTCATTTTGCAGCATACTTTTATGGGAAGTAACTATGAACCTTTCTGTTGAAATTATTTTTTTACAGGCAAGTGTGTATATATATATATATATATATAGAAGACAAAAATTGACAAAAGTATAGAGTCAGTCTAAAGGATTAACACAGTGAAATTGATTATATTTTATCTCTCTGGATTCAAACTTGCATCTTTTTTCCTCAGCCAAAGACCAACTGCTCAAACATGTCTTGAACATGCATGGGTAAAACGTGCCAGCACGCCAAGAAGCTCACCGAACAAATTCCATCAGATTTCTACTGACAGATTAGCAGATTTTCTGGAGCGCAGGAGACATCAGGTACTGTAGACAAAACAGGTTTTTATAAAGCTTTGCGTAAATGCTACTAGTAGAAGATTTAATAGTATTTAAAATAACAAGTTAACCACAGTTTTGGCAAAGACAAGTTTTCTGTAATCTGTTGCAGAAAATAATCGGCAAAAAGACATTAATATTACAGTGTTGAAGGTAAGTTAATTTATACCATGACTGACTTGTGGGACTCAAGTCCTACAAGTAAGTGCTGTAAGAAGCTTATGGGCACAGTATGTTTGAGGGCCTTCCATACTTTGCTGCAGACTAGGTCTTTTTTGCGTATAAATCAGGTACAATACTTGTCACATAGTTGTAAGTAAATTCCTCTTGTTCAAACCATTGCTCATTTTTACATACTTGTTTGGTGTCACTATGTACTTTATCGGGGTAAAATGAAAGGCCCTTAATGGTACAGAATTGAGATGATAATTAGTCTAATTCTATGGCATAATTGTAGTTTTCGTAATCATGTCTTGCTACTGTGCAAACTTATGGTGCTATACATGTATATTTTCTTGGTTGAGGGTTTTCGAAGTTTAATTAATTGTCCATACTTGTTATTTTCTGCCTTTGCAACATTGGTTACTTTGCACCAGCACCATGCTTTGGGTTCTCCGACTGCAAATGTTTTCTGTGCCATTTCATCAGTGTAGAGGGTGTTGAGAGAAAAAAAATGCCACCTGTGAATCTGGGGCTGTCTTTTAGAAGCTTCTGTTTTTACAAACCTTCAGAACTTCATCATAAATTTATCAATCCTGTTTATGAAACAAGTCCAACATATGAGAGAGTGCTTTTGAGAATATGGCCCCTTTCTTTTTGGTCAGTGGCATATGGTAGCTAATTGCTCCTGATGTCATACCTGACCACTTGCAGTTGAAAAAGAAAATTTCAAAATAAATTTTTTGTTTTGCTTGGCTGATCGATATGTTAACACTGTAGTTCCATTCAAGAATCAGAAATTAGGAACAGTGTCAAGAAAGGGCAGTTTTGGTAATTTTCTGCATGAGGTTATGCATTCAGTACCTGAACAAATTGATTGCATTACCACGAGTAATGACTTTCACAGTGAACCTCAAATTCTAATGTGGTATTCTCTCAGCCCTTGGTACTCTTGTCAGAAAATGCCCTTTGTTCACCAATATCAGATGTCTTGGGTATTTGCAAACTGTGGTATTAACCACTACAGAGAATTTCAATGCTAAACGTGCTCTGTCTTGCTTGTTTTTTTTTCCTTGCTGCTGTAGCAACTGGGTGAGCTTATGGATACAGAGGGTGAGTCGCTGGCACGCCTGCTGCTCTTCATGTTTCACGTGGTGTTTTTCCTGTATACTTGCTTGAACACGCTGTACAGAGCTTTGCTTAGACTGGATTGAACATTCACCTGTGCACTACCTGCTGTACTAGAATCCTCACATAACTCTTCTCTTCTGATATATTGTTAGATTATCATGATTGCCTTGTTTAGTGTGCCCTATATCCATCTATGGAAATTACCCACAAAATTTAAACAAAAAAAAAAAAAAGACAAATTGTATTGAATTTTCCAAATCCTTGGTTATAGCTGTAAAGAATTATTGAAAGGAATTTAAGAAATAGTGTGGTTTGTGAGAGAATGTTTATTTATTTATTTATTTTTGGTAACTTAAAAATTTAGACTTGAAAATTTAAATAAAGACTAAGGAAGATGTTTGAAATTTGTGGGTTATTACCATGTGTAATAAGTTGTAATTTTGTATTGCTGTTGAGATCAGGTATAGAAGTACACTTTCTTTAGATGTACTGTATATTGTCAGATGTACATAATTAAGTATTAGTTATGTATGCACGTTGTTGTTGTTGTTTTTGATATAGAGGGATACATTTAACATATGCTCCAGTTATGTTATTGCTGTACATATTGTATTAGGTAAACTGCCAACGCAGAAAGAAAAGGTTGTAGGAGTATTACGAAATCTTTATGTAGAAGATCGTTTCATTTTGATAAGGTCTTGCAACACCTTAAGGTTTAAGAGAATTTTAATGGCCTTGTTGTTTGCATCTGTTTGTAAATATGTTGTGTTGTCATGTGGGTGTTCAAAGGGAGCATCTCAACAGTCCAGAAGTTTGATTGGCCCAAATATGAAATTTTGTCTGCTGAGGGGAAGTATTCCCGTCTTCCTTTCAATTGTAATTCTGTTAGTAGGTGGTGAAACTGCACCAATGAACCCCTGAAAAAACAGTATCAGACCAAATAAACTGCTGACTAAAGAAAGAGCCATCAAACAACATTTAGTGTATTGTATATTGGACTGTTGGGAATTAACCACCCAGTCCATACAAGGTTGCTAACATCATAATACATGTAGTTCTCAGTATGGGTACATCTAGATCTATTGTGTATCTTGTTGCCACTGTTAGAGATCAAACAGTGTCGATAAAAAAAATGGGGACTGGGGACTGAGATATGTTGTTGGCAACTCTATCAAGTTATGGACATGCATGATTTTGTTTTCATTTTATTGTTGTTGAATGAGTAGACTGCAGATGTGGTATTTGGATTTGCATGGATGCCATACTGGGGGTACAGGCCCTGTCAAGGAAGAGTTCACAAAAGTGTTTACAAGGAAGTGTTCACAAATTTTACTTTTTTTTCCCCAAGGCAACTGTTTTGACTATTTTTTGCTGATGTTTATTATGCTTTCTCCCATTGATCACTGTGACTTTTGTTCATTCTGACAGATATAAGATAGATGTGCCTGTAGTTTTTTTAATTATTTATTAGACTGAAGACCTGTTACAATAACAACGAGGACTCTCTTGTTAGTTCTCTGATTGTCTTCTTTTTTATTTGATAATTTTAACTGACAGGATTTTGGTGCATTTTTACCCTACTGAAAAAATAACACTCCGATTGATACACACATATATATAATTCAGTCATAACTTGTTATTATTCTTTTTGAACCTAGCTCTTATATGTGACTAACCAAACTTTGTATTATTTCTATTTCAGTCGACTGATGCATGTGTGCTGCAGCCTCTCCTTCCCCACCACCATCTTTAGTGACATAGGACCTGACTAAATGACATGAACCATCTGGCACTGGAATTATTTCTTTGGTTGAAGGCGGCTTTACGTTGGTGCTTTTGGTCACTTTATTTATCACCCGTCACATTGGCAATAAAATTCTCGAGAAGAATTCAAATTGCTTCATTTGTTTTGAATTGAAATGTTTTTGGTTATTTTACTGCTTTAATAACCATTTGACAATGTGTAGAAGTAGATTTGAGTTGTCTTGACAAATTTTGCTTTCTTCTTTTTTGCTGATTTTTGGAGCATTGGCCTTCCTTAATGCCAGGTTGTATTATAACATTTGCCTTTGATCAGAGCTTACTCTTATTATTCAAGTATACCATAAAGGTACTTTTGGAATCTCACTGTGGCCTGTAGGTTACTACCTAGTTATAACTGATATGTATAAATTCATTCACTTTCACTGTCATCTTGTACCATACTGAATGAGAAAATGTCTCCACTGCACTTGCAGCATATAAGGAACAGTTAACTCAGTTAAGCAAAACCTTCTCAATGTTTTACATAGACACCATGGAGATCAATTTTCAGATTTCCTTTTATTATTTTTCAACATGTGATACACAATTTACATTAGTGTAAAAGCATGTCTCGTTCTTATATTTGTCAGTGGTGCTTTGAGAGTCAGAGTAGTCTACTAGTTGTATGTCTTTTTGTACATTATATGTCAAGTGCTTGTACATTGATGTGTCATTTTCCTGATTGACTTGAGGAAAAGGGGTGATCTTTTTTCTTCATTTGTTGGATGCAAGTGCTCATTTAAAATGGCATTCTATTGTAAAACACATCTCTACTCAATTTTATGGAATAACTGCCATTGAAGCATATGTATTTGTCTCTAAATATGGAACTTAATAGAAAGTTTCATTACATTAAAAATGTAACATCAGGCACCGTGTATAATATCACGTATCAAATTTGCAAACATTGTTTTGCAGACTGTATATGACTTGCATTTTAAACTAAATTTCTTTAGATAAAAGTAATATGTGGAAAAATGTACAGTTTTTTTTCTTTTTATGAGATATATATTAGAAGTATCAATATTGAATATAATCATACCATTTGAAAAATTAGAATATATCTTAAGTCATATTTATTTTGCTGTGCACTTGCCATCTAATAAGTGAGAGCCATTGAGATATTCACAGGTGTTCTTAATTTATGACCATTGTACAGTTTTGTAAAAGCTGATTTTGTTAGAAGGTAGTAGATGTTGAATATGTGCCATAAAAATCATAATATTTAAGGTGTAATTGTACATGAAGTTTAAATTATTCCTTTATACCCAATAGAAATGCTTGCATACACCCACCTTTCTTTCTGGTAATTTCTTTGAGATTGTAGACTGTTTTAAAACATTGGATTGCACAAGGATCTTGCTTTCCTCTGACATTAGCTTTAGGGTGTAGAGAAGGACACTCAACAGGGTAATTATACTACTTGACCACCAAGATACCGTCTTATTTCTTTAGATGTAATGGCCAGTATGCTGTTGAGAAAATCGATGTTCCAAAAGCATGGGTTCTAGAGATCATGTTGTACAGATATATTGAATTTCCCAGTTTTCAAACATCCATGGCATCTCTATGGAGTGTGATGCATTTCACTTATTTATTGGTGTGCAATCTGATACATGTTATTTTGATCAATAAATAAAAATCATTTACCTGTTTTTCTTTTGTGCTAAAAGCTTTTCTGTTGTACATGACCATATCTAAGTTATCTTTTTGGCTAGTTTAAGTTTTTTTCTTAGATGTAACTAGATGAACGGGCACAGTATTCTTTTTGTGATTACTGAAAGAGTTATCAATTTTAGAAATAGTGGATAAAATACTACACTCTAGAGAAACCAGACGGTAAATTGTAACTTATATATTTTATTTCCTATGCTAGTACAGATTTCAAAATAAGAAACCCTTCAACCAGAAAGGTAAGAAGAGACTAATTATTGCAATAATTTCAATACAAAAATATGAAGCAATTGGGTATATTGCAATAGATTTTTTAAAGAATAAATATATAATTTTATGTGTTTAAAGCATGTGTGGGACAGAAAGCCCCTTTTATCTACAAAAAATGTAGTTGTGAAGATATATAATATATCTTGGCATAAATGAGTTGACTGCCTATAAATTATTGAGACAGTACAGAAAAAAAGAAAAAATCCTTTTAGATATAAAAAAGTATAAACTCCAACACAAGACTTCTTTTTCAAGCAGTATACATCAAAACAACTGATGTCCGATGTGCTTGGAAAGTTTGTGGCATCAAATTGGTGGAAAGGTTGCACTAACATGACCCTGTGATAACAATATATCCATCTATTATGTCTGTAACTATGTCCCTTGGTATACAAAACTTATCAGCTCCAAAAGAATTGTAAAAAGAAAATGGTTAACAAAAAAGGGAACCCTGTTTGAAAACATGGAAAAGACCATAAATGGCTTTACAGTAAGCACTTCTATAAACTGATTCAGCATCTTATACTTAATACTATAAGAACAGTAAATATCATTTAAATCCACACTTCAGAAGTTGACTACACTTCAGCCAGTTTGTACAAGAATGAGCATATCACAAACAGATCATTTGCTTCATTACACAGAACCACTAGTATTAATTCTAATAAGAAACGCCCAGATAGTTTTGACATGTAATAATGCTTGTATAAGTAATACAAGACTAATGCTATTGTCTCAAAGATGTAACATTACAAAATTGTTTGGCAGATTTTGAAATGCCTCCCTTCAATACAGATAACGGATGCAACCAAGCCATCAGCACTTATTTCAAATTGTCAGAATGAAAACCAATCACAAATCCTCCGTAATGCTGAATTGTTCATGTAACAAAAATACTTCCACAGCTTGCTTTACTGAATAGTTAAAAAAGAAACAATTGTCGTTTCCCACCATAAAGCAATCTGGAATGGCTAATAAAAAGTCTCATTTGTTTCTAATAACAACAACTTTGGATGGAACAGTTTGTGGTGGTTTTTACAATAATCATCATCAGCAGGGATTGTGTTACTTTATGGACTGCCTTCCACACATACTTCTAATATTATTATAAAATACAATGGAGATATGCCAGATGATGTGCAAATGGTGGGTTAATGTGACTTCTACACTAAAGTTTTCAATATAAAGATATACTGAGAGCATCCTTGCAAAGAATTATTTTCTAATTCATTAATCATTTTTAACAACTTATGCAATATTTAATCTACTTGTATAACATATTAGCCAAATGGCAATAATCTATTCAATAATTTGTTCTATTACAAAATACACTGTCTATAGAGTAATAAAATCTGTAAAATGAAAAACTCTGTCCAAAAGCTACAAAAGGCCTATAGTCTGACTGCACAGTGAGGTTGAAGTTAGAAAAGCTTGTGCTGCTTCTTCAGCTGAGCCTGTTTCCACACTGGCAATTCCATGAAATTCTGATAGTTCATGCCAAAGGTACTCTGAAACACTTCCTCAGTCAGGTATATCTGAAATTTATAATAACAAATTTATAATAACAAACATTTTCACAGTAATTTTCTGAATGTTATATCTCAGAGTTTCACATTTATTCACGTCTATTCCTTTTTTTTTTCTTTTGTGTATTTTGAAATTGAGCTTATATAAATTAGAAATGTAGACGATTGTCGTCCAACCATTGTCCTGTAGAGTAATTATGAGCATTTTAAGTGATGGTCATGTTCTGTCCAAGCCAAGCTCAGGACTCTCTTCAATGTACTCTACCAGGACACTCACCTCTTTGGACGCAGCCTCCACACCCTCTGGTAGCCCCTCACCCTCCTTACACTGGAGTTGCTCTAGGGAATACTTGGGAACATCACTGAAGTTTGTGCTGCCATTCATGTTACTCTGAAACAGATTCAAGAATCACCTGCTGGTAACTGGAGATATTTCTAATGGGTCTGTCAAAGATACACCTCTATCGGCTAGATCTTTGTACTATAAATGCCATGCGTGTTAAATGTTGGCGAGGTTTGTAATGAATTATTGTGAGTGTTACACTGATTAACCAGTCTCACCATTTCTTGATATCCTACTGTTTTATCTTGTTACTTTATGTAAACTTTCTATGTGTATTTATACAACATATCAGTGTTTAAGCAAATAATTTTTTTCCATTTTAGACAAAAACAAGGATGTCTAAAGATCCTATTTGCCCTGTCATCTGTACATACCTGGTCAACAGACTTAACACCAACATTTTCCGCCCCTAGCTCTGCCTTCAACTCTTCAAATGTTTTGCCCTTCTGTAGATAGATAAAAAAGCAAGGTGTAATTCTTAAAAACTAAGTTGGATATCTAAAAACTTCAATAAAATGATTAATATACATTGTCATTCTGTAGATAATTCCCGACCTGAATATTATACCACCTTGCAATATTAGTGAGTATCTACTCACATAAATCTGAAGGCCAGTGACCAATTGACCATAAGTTAATGGCAAGAAAAAAATTCAACTTGTGCTAAATAATTAAAATGAATTCCCTTTTCATAAATTCATTCACATTTTAATAGCAACTCTCTTCATACTGTTTTCACTTATTTTTTTGAAATTCTTTATATGATCTCATTTCTATTAGTTATCTCTATTTTGAATTAAAATAAAATTTCAAATTGTTCATTTTCTTTAACGACTTCAAAGCATGTTGATCTCTTACATTTAAAAAGCTCTCTTCACATATAGTCACCACAATTATGCACCTATTACTTTTATTCAATTCTCCTCATTTCCCAGCCAATATATAAGACTATATATTACAAGTCTTAACAATAAATACAGATTTTCTACTCACACTCCACATATCTTTGTCCCAAGTGCCAAAGAACCCTGTAAAATTTGGAGGTTCAAACCCTTGCTTTATTTTCAACACTGGTGTATCTGGATCACGGCCTGTAGGGTCTGTATTAATATATTCCTGGAAAATTGAGAAAATACAAGGAAATGCTTACCTGAAAAATTCTGCAGAAAATTAAACAGCCCTAAAAACTTTATCAAAACCATAAACAAGCTTATAATTTATTTATTTATTCATTTTTTTAAATATCATTCTGTTATTATCTCACCATTATTATTATTTCTTTTTTGGTATTTTGACTTGATTTAGAGTGCATATGTGCATGTATAGGAATTTACATGCACGTCCAAATGTAGGAATATATATGCATACATTAGATGATTTGTGTCTGCTCAAACAATTTTTACAGTATATATGTGCAGATGCAAGTAAAAATTATAATACAAATTCAAAACATTGCCTTACAAATGCAGCCTTTTCAGCTTGTGTCTTCTCTTCTTTATTGGCTCCCTCTCCCACCCATATAAACACATTCTGCTGGGCATCCAGCAACATGACATCATCAGTCACAAGATCTTGCTGTAATACATATATAATAATGATAATAATAATAATAATAACATATGTACTTAACAACAATACCTAAAATGAAAACTTGTGAGTAAAAATGGCCGCAAACAAGCAATGATTGTTGATTTATACAGTATTTGCCTTAAACATAATGACATTAATATAATTTTCAACATTACAATAAAGAAAAATAGTTTTAACATAGAAAACCATGCTTCCAGAATTGCATTTTAAGTTTATTCTGATAATGATCTATGATGCAAATAATGTAAAAGAATTGCAGGAACTTACTTGAGTGAAATCAGTAATTTCTTCCATAATGAACCTGCCTGATGCATTAGAACACTGAAATAGTCTAGGAGGACGATCTATATCTGGTTCCTAAAGACAAAATAATAACACATTGACAACATAAGACTGTTAAGATTTCAAGTCATGCTGTATACTCAATTTGAATTTTCCTACAGATAGCACAGATACTGAATAATTGAAGAACAAAAATTAATGACACATTTTGCTACCAAAATACCATAAACTACACAAAAGTTATAATGACAAACCTGAAGTATCTTATCACTGGAATAAGCCTCTTGACCTCCAATGGCTTTCCAGAAATCGGGTTTTTCAGTCCCCTCAAATACCAGGATAGGCTCCCTGGGAGATATTTTGGAGACATGTTTGGCCATCTCTCGCTCATCACCAGTGCTTCCCTGAATTAAGAAATGTATTTTTTTTCCTTTTTTCATCATAAAAGCACTAAAATAAAAAAAAAAAAATTAAGCAAATCTTAAAAAACAAAGGTAATTGTTGAATTAATTGCCATTTTACAATTCAACAAGTTATGCATTTTAGTTGTTATTTTCCTAAGACCCTGTTCATCTTTTAATCAAGTTTACTCTGATAATGATCTATGATGCAAATAATGTAAAAGCGGGGTATTAGTCAGACAACTATCCAGCTGTCTTTTGGACTCCCTATATTTCAATTTTGGATGACCATTTTTTCAAACTTGTATATACATTTATATATGTTGTAACATGTGGAGACTTGATGGTCTGCAGAGCAAAAAAATTAATTTTGCTACTGAACTCTACCTTGCCACACCAGATATATACTGCTCCCTTTTGGAAAAGAACAAAGACATCATTGGAATTCAAAGAGGCTGCTCTTAAATCAACCTGAAAGGAAAAAGAAACTTCTGTTTGAAAACTACACAATAACTTTTGGTTTACAACTGCAGTCACTGATCTCCCTTTAAATTTCAGGCCTGTCAGAAAGTTTTCCTTTAAATTTGTTGCAAATTTGCTTAAATAATTTTTTCCATGTAATGTGTTTTGTTACAAGTTTTCAAGAATCTAAATACTTTTTTGCAAACTTAAGATGCTCTTACAAATTTGCAGGCAAATTACAGCAACAATTTTTTTTTTTACTATTTACTTGTAGAGACTTTTTACAGCAAAGTAAATAGTTTGCGGCAAATTTGCAGCAACTTTTTACATTTTGCTAGGTACTATATTCCCCACTAAAGTAAGGGTGGTAGGAGATTATGATGGTATATGTATACCTGTATAGCCTTGGTGTTGGCGGGTGATGTCCCTCGGACTTGCAATAAGTAGGAGTCTCCAGGACCATCATTTCCTCCTGTCTGGCCCCAGCCTGCTTTCCCTCCCTAAGACACAGAAAATACACACATTTTTATGAGACAGTGTAGAAACCTTGTTGTTATATGTCTTTAAATTTGGTCCTTAAATTTAAACTTGCCTGTCTCCTGTTGACCACAACGGCCGTGTATCAAAATAAAGTATGTGTTGAACTAATTGTGCCATGTTAAAACATTTTAGACTCTTTTAGATGTAAAAATGACATAATTTCACTTAAACTACCCCCAATGTTGTTATCTAATATGATGAAACTATATAATATCAGTTTAATATCATGGAAGAATTTTACCCAAATGCAATTTTACCGAAAATATAATCATTCTCCCTTTGAACATGGCCATGAAATGTGGTGGTTCTTTGTTCTGTACAACACGGATCTAAAAAAAGAACACATTATTGAGATATAACTCCACTTTGTATTCAAGAAGTTACGTAATGCCAGGATTGACATGTCATGAATTATTCAAATAGCACTGAACTTAATTCATCATTGGACAGAATTGCCATTAAAATGCTATATTGGTGTACAATAAAACTTCCTTGTGTGTCTTGTAATACTCAATCTACTGCCTACAGATATATTATAGTTCATGAACCACAATTTTAAAGCACTTTTCATTCCGAAAATTTTGGTCATTCAAATATTTTTGATTTCGCACAAAAAATACTTAACACCTGGAACACAAGTCCCTGTTCAGAATTTCTGACCAGCCAAGGACAATATAATTGTATAATATCAGCTGGACCACACTGACCTGCACTGGCTCTCCCCCATACTTGTCATCCAGCTCCACTGCCTTTAATGCTGACGTACCCTTCTCATCAGTGGTGGATTTCAGGCCCTACAAGTCCAAAATTTAAGTAATAGCTTGAAACTGTTGTAAACTAGTGCCGCTCATTCAATGAAAGGCATATCAACAAAGAGAGCAACTAAATCAAGACATTACAATGCTTTTAAGGCAGTTTTTTATCAGTGTACCAAACTTACACCCAGTCAATAATATCATTTTTCTAATCTAGTAAAAGCAGGCATTGCTTCTACCATTTTTATATCCCTTTTCACAAATTTAACATAAAAACACAGACCCAGATGCAGCTGGATATATTAGAAAACAAGACCAAGATGTTCTAGCTGGTGGTACAGTGACACATGCTAGCACTGTCAAGAAATAACCAATGAATAAAATTATTTTTTTTTGACAAAAATCATTTCGCCAATTTTAATTTTAGCCAAAATATTTTAATTGGATTTTTTCCTCTAAATACGTCATGTATAGCATGTGCTAATGTTTATCAAAAGTTATAAAAGTGCTTATAGTTCTCAGTTAACAAACAATAGGGAATAAGATTTAGTCTCCGTAAAATCATTTCATTTTCGACAAGTTCATGACAGAAACATTAACAACATACATACAACTACCACTCAAACCAACTTTTCTTCTATGAATAATATCTGCTATGAACTTGGACCATATTAACCATGCAATTACCACCAAGGTAATCTCCATGCATATGATACCCCCTTTCAGTTGAGAAGAAAACTTAAGGAGAGTAAACCCAAGTCAACTTTGTTGTAGTTATAAGTAATGACTCGATCCCTTCAACAGGGAAAAATTATTGATTTTTCAGATACATTATTTAGGAATCATTAAAATTTATATTTCTGTGTAGCTTTGTGATGCTTTCAGTGTATAGAATAGAATAGAACTATGTGAATAAGGTGGCCTGCTTTTCAGTTTTGTTGCTACGTACTACTCAATAGGAATGTTCTAACTCAAAGAATATGACTTAGGCTCTATTCCCATAGATTTTAGATCGATCTATCCCCGCAGGGAGTCTCACTAGATTACTTTCAGATAATCCGACTTGAATGTCTGTCCTGCCTACTACAAGCTGTAAGGGGGTAATCAACTTTCGTGTCCGCCCGGCTGACAGCTATTTAGCGTGAACCCCCAGGGAGTTAGGTCGATCTAAAGTAGGTCGATCTAATCTATGGAAATGGGGTGTTAAAAAATTGAGTATATATAAAATCTGGCCTATCCAACTACCAGACTCGGCACCGAATGAACCCCCAGGGAGTTAGGTCGATCTAAAGTAGGTCGATCTAATCTATGGAAATGGGGTGTTAAAAAATTGAGTATATATAAAATCTGGCCTATCCAACTACCAGACTCGGCACCGAATGATCCTGAATTCACCGGTAGATCAGACCACACTACCCGTTTTCAAGGTGTGAGTCAGTACGCATTATACAGTATCATACCCTGAACAAATTTTGACTGGTGATGCAATGCTTTTCAACCCCGCTGAGAATCGTCACTATCACATCGCGTACTAGGCAAGAGCGGTGTCGCGTCTGATACTGTGAAATGCGTACTGATACACACCTTGAAAACGGGTAGTGTGGTCCAATTTACCAGTGAATTCAGGATCATTCGGTGCCGAGTCTGGTAGTTGGGTAGGCCTGAAAATGCAGAATCTTCCCCATTGAAAAGATCAAGTCATTCAGATACATGAAGGACTGAAGAAGATATCACATTCTTGAAAGGTTATGTATGCACTGATCTTACCTGCCAGTAGTAAATCAGATGTCTTGTCTGGGTACCCACTTCATATGTGTAAAGAATAACATAACAGTCTCCAGCAAAGAACTGACCATAGTGTTTTTTATCCTGTGCAACTAAGTCAAAGTTGTGAACAACAAACACCTGGAAAGGAGAAAAATGCATACACAGATTTCATGCCAGAGATTGACGTATATAGTGTGCCATTAAATTATTTCTGACCCACTGAATTTCTTTGACCTTTTGATTATGAGATATAAAAACAAATACTACAAAATATACAAATACATCATTGGAAAAAATCACTAAGTTCAAAATTCTTTACCATACATTGGTACACACCAAGTTTGATCTCAAAAAGAGTGTGTGAAGACAATACAATGTCCAATGTTCTTATTAGTAGCATAATTAAAATAAACATGGTCAGCAGCTAGAGACAATTAATTGAAATCACAAAAGTGCATTGAAAATTCAAATCAGTCATTTTCATTTCATCACATTAAACTGACATCTACCTTATAACATCAATAAAATAATATAATAAGCCAATATTATAATCAAAATGGAAACATCAGAAATCCTTACCTCCACTTTCCCAGTTCCATCATCCACCATTTGAGTCTCAGCAGCCAGGGTGGGGTTGGAGTGAAGAGTAGCCACGTCAAACTTAGTCTGCACTGTTTTGGCTAAAATTATGTGCATTTAGTCTTTCAGAATTTCATCAGACACATGTATATACAGGAAAGTTTATTTTTACTTATTATCACTTTTTCTTTAATCTTATAAATATGTTACTAAGAGAATCCATGAATGAATATCAAATTAATTGGTCAGATTTTGGTTAATTAAAATTATGTCTTTGTTTTTTTTTATTTGACTGAACAATTTTCAAATATGGAATACATGAGGGGGGGGGGGGAAGCAGAAGATAAGAAGACTTGTACCTTGGAAAATGGATTCCAAAAAAGGAGGGAAGGCATGTACTATAATTGCTGGGATAAATGTTATAAAATATGCCAAATAAATCAGAGTGGATTGGTAGGAAAGGATCATGAAATGCTAATTAATATAACTTTTAAAAAATCTAATTGCCTCCTGTGATTCTAGATCAAACAAAACCACAATGCCACATTAATCAATTATCCATGTGGTTAATACCAAATTGTTACATGTTAAATGTTAATGAGTTAAAACCAAATTACCAACAAACACAGTTAGCATGCATGTGGACTACGTACAAAACATACATGTAAACAAAAAAACTAAAGTACAAATTAAGAGTAACAGACTTACTGTCAGCTATAGTGCAGGACACATACAGACAAACACAGCATGATAATAGAAAGAAAAGAAAGTGAAGACAAGAAAAAGTTACATCAAAATACAAGCAAAGAAACACAGCACAAAAAGTTAATGTAAAACTACAGTTATGAATATACTTCTTAACTGCTAAATGAAAATGGTCAGTTCAATGAGTATAACAAAAGTTCAAAGTCATACACTCAAGATTTACTTGTTTCCATTTTTAATTAGATAAAAATTTTATGTATTGCTTCTATACTGAACCCTGGATTTTTGCACAAAGATATTTTACATCAAATATTCAAAATATTGAGCTTTAGAATGTTGTGAATGTTTCTATTAATATCTTGCTAGGTAATTAATTTTCATCAATAATGCTTGCAAAAAAGCTTGTGAAATTCAACTCATGAGCAGCAATATGAAAATGTCTTTCACACACCAATCTGTCCATGTGTGAGGAAAAAATATCTATGATTTATGTGAGCGTTTGAAAATGTCATATTCTCTAATTAACTTTTTTCACCACTTATGATATAAATAATGTCTGGTGTCAGTAATCTAGCACTGGTGTCTTTTGAAAAGATGGAATTAAATTAATAATTCCTCCATCAATCAAATTAATAATTTTTAATCTATGACATAAAGCAGTGCAAGCATTTACTGTAGCAAAAACTAGGTCCTGTAGTTTTATCAAACCAAACAACTTTATCCTGATTAAGCAAACCAAAGTCTGATCAAAAGCATTCAAATCTCCCTTGCTCAAGATCATCTTTCATTTTCACATAAATTTTGACTTCTTTCAATGATTATTATACAATAATTTCACTTAAGTTAAGATCGAACTTTTGAACTGTATAACTTATCATGTTCGGTGGCAAAAAGCAATAACTTTTCCGTGCATCACATCAGTAGAAATTATTAATAAAAATATGTAAATTTGAAATACTTTGCACTTAGTCTAATTTAATGCAATTCAAATGCAACATAAAGCACATCAAACAAAAGCAAGCATTATAAAGAAGCGCACAGCCAGCATGTGACAAATTCACTCACCAATTTTGCTTGTGCGGTACACCTTTCCAGAGGCTTGGGGCTCAGGCCAGGATTTGAACAACATTTTAAAGCGAGTTCCCTCTCCGCCCTCAATCACTCGGGTCACGGGGGTGTTTTTACTGTAGCCTTTCTTTTTAATATACCCCTGCATGCAGGAATGTGGGATATGGGTAATAATAATAATAAGATATAGGTAGAGGTTCAAAGGCAGCGCTGTCATCGAGATCTCATCATTTTAACAAAATACGTCTTACTATAATAGGCTTAATTTCAGGCAGAACCTCCTACTGTGATATCCCTCAGAATTCCTAAAAGTAAAGCAGTCTGTTTGAATTGGTATATGTGAGAAGTTAGATTACTGAGAGAGATTACATGGGATGAGGAATTAGGGTTCTGCTTGCTGAAAGTAAACCTATGAACTATTTTGTTAAAGATATGAGGACAGTGACATTATATCTACATTTTCATGAAACTCAAATGCAAAAAGAAAGAAAAAAACCAAAACAATACTTTGGCAGACATGAGCCTAAGTTAAAAAAAAAACCCTTTAAACATTTATTGAATCTAAGAAAAGATGAATCTCAGGAACCATCAGAATTGAATTAAAAAATGCGGAATTCTGCATTTCCATGGAAAAAGCTCATGTCTGCTTTGGTGAAAGCAGAACTTTTGAAAATGCTGTTTTTATATTATTATAGTGTCTGTTTACTGTTTATTGACTATTTTTTAAAACTTAATTCAATTTGGGTTTAAGGCAAGTTTTAGATATTTTATCCATGTTTTTCTATTAATTTGTATGAAAAAACTTTTTCCCTAATCATTATAGTGAAATTGTTATTGAAACATCTGCATCTATTAAAGCACCATCACATTGACTATACTATGCCACGTGCCAGACACACTGGCAAAATGATTTTCACACTGTACGATCAATACCCTGTTCTGCCTTCACTTTCTGTTCATTCAATTTCTAGAATTAGTCTATAACAGTAGTCAAGTCACCCAATCTGTCATTCAGAAAAATCATCATACAAAAACCCGTAAAGCAAGCAAATATATTATCATCCCTCGACATGCTTTATGTAAAGCTAATACTAGGGAAATTCTTTAATAAATTAACATGCTTCAAACCAATGAAAAATATCATCATGAAGTAATGGTAGGTTCGACATGCAGTCACAGTAACACTATAAAATACAACAGCTTCTGAAGTATTTTTTTCTGACATGATCAGTTACATGTCATTCTAGTATTGGTGTCTGCCGAGCAAAAGATCCACTGAGTGAACTGAAGGTGTACAGAGACAGGCTGCTGCTGGGAAGGTGTCTGTGAGAATGCATATGTACTTGAGGTGAGTGTGTGTATGTGCGCGTTCATAACTGACAAGGTGATACAAAAAATTGACTTAATTCTGTTAAATACACCAGTCAAGAGAGTAACTCACATTAGCATTCCTCATTGCCTCATCTTTCTCTTTCTTTGTGGCCTTCTTTCCATTCCAGACCCAGAGGCCTGCCTCCCCAGTGTCTATAATGAATGAGTCCTGCAAACACAAAAATCAAGTCAAAAACTTGTCTCATAACTGAAAAATAAAAAGGTAATCATAAAAAGTTATGTTTTAATATCATGTCACAGTTGGTCCCAGTGTGCTGTCACAGTGCTGTCATATTTTACTTTGCTGTGAATATAGGCCATGATTCTTATGTCAGTCCAGTAATGATATGAATAAGACCATGTGAATTACATTCCTGTACACAATGCCTTACACATCCAAGGTAAATAGCTCATGGAAGTCCAAATAGCTCATGGAAAGTCAGGTAGAAAACACCTGCATTTGAAATATGTGCCTCACTCTTGTCCTCCAAGCTATAAAATTCCAGGACCTAGTTATAGCTTTTGTACAACTTCAGTTAATTATACCTTTAATAAACTACCAGAATTTGACCAACAAATGTGACTGGATCAGATTAAAATCCCCTGGTAGAAATAAAGGAATTCAAATAATGACAAAATCATGCCAACACAGTAAAAAGTTTCAATAAAACAAATATACCATACTAAAAATGTCTACTTACATTGGAGTCTAAGTCTGATTTAACTAGAGGTCCACTCTTCTTTTCTTGCACTTTAAGGGTACCACCCTCATCAGTACAGCTAATAAATTAAAGAATTCAGAGATCATTTCACAAAGTATGGTAAAAAAAAAATGGAATGCCATAGCCACCTGATATTTTTCCACCATGGTTTAAAAGCTTTGGGACAAAACAGTAGATTCACTCACTAGACTCATTCACTCACTGTAGACTTACCAAAGTCCTCACTATTTCTGGATATTGTGAGCTTCTTCCACAATCTCGAATTTCAGTGTTCTTTTACAACTAAATTTGCAATGTTTTACACACTGTACATTTAAGTCATTTTCTTCTAATAAATAAAAAAATAGATTTGTATTTAATTTTAAAAATGTGTTTGTTTGCATTGGAGCTATGGGCTGCACTCAGATTCAGACATCATACCAGCTAGGTCCAACTCAGCAGGGGGATTTTTCTTTAAGTGCAATCATTGGGATCAGCTTAACTGCCTGACATGCCTCCTCAAGCAGTTAGGGGGGTTATTAAGTCCAGTGCACATGGAAGAGTTGAACTGACCCAGCTGCATGGTGCGATGTCTGAATCAGAATGGGGTCTTGGATATGTTAGATCTACTTACACATAAAGTTTAATCTGCCCCATCTTCACCACCACTTCTTCATCTGCTCCTGCTGCTGCTGCTTTGTGCACTTTCTTACTCTTCAAAGGAAGATGTTTCTCAAAAACCTTAAGAAAATTTAAGCAGGAAATATTCATTTTAGTAAAGAAGACCTGACAAGGAAAATGTGCTGCTATAAGTGCAGAGGGTACTTTTATTCCATCTTACTTATCCAAATAATATGGTATTCTTACATTAACCTTCAAGGCTGCAATTTCTTTGTATATCTGATTTCAGCAACTTCAGAATATTCCAATTTCTGTTAGGCCAAAGCATTAAAAAATTCTTGATCTCACAGTATTATGCAACATATCCAGACACAGGGATTCATATGAGGTGGAGTACTTTTCAGTCCAAGTCCACTTCAGCACACCTATAAATAGCAACATTGTAAACCATATCACCTACCTTAAGTTCATCTGGTGTCATCTTATCCTCCTGTCCATCTTCCACAGTGACAACATCACAGTTTTTGTGCTCGTCTTTTAACTGTCTGGCAATTTCCATGCCCTAATAAATATACAGACATCAAAGAGTTTTAAGTGTTTAACAGTCTTCAATCTTAAAGACAACATTACTGTTGATTTGGAGTAATAGTATCAACTTTGCAAACCAGCCACCTAAACCTGGCTTATGCACAGACAACCTAAATAAGTTGATTGCAATACATCGTACTGACACTGTCTGTACATAAAAAAGTATGCAAATTTGTCATTTTCTGTTGAAAGTCATTAATTTTCACAGTTCAGTAAAAATGTATTATACACTTAAACCTGAATGTTAACCACAATGACTAGGATCTTGCCTTGATTTTCTCAGTTCTGTTTGCATCCTTCCCAATCCAGACAAATATAACATTGAACAGGTCCAACAGAAAGACATCTCCTTCATTCATGGAGTCCCAACTGATTGGCACCTATTAAGATAGGAATTGCAAAAATATAAATAATAATAATTGTCTTGTGTCTCTATCTTTATTTGTCCCAGTAAACAACACTTATACAGCTCAGTTCTACAAAAAAAAAATTAATAAAATTAAATAACATTTAACACAGAAAAATATAATCATCTTGTGTTTTTAAATATCCACTCTTAAATTACCATTTACAGGATTTAACCAGCTCGATTTTTAAACTAATTTTCCAAATCTCACTTATTTTTTGCCTGCCATAAAAATGTGGATATAATGTGTGTTTATTGTGGATGTAAATTGTAGATATAATGTTGAATGGTTTTAAATACCTCGGTGGTCCTGACAGTTCTCTTTCCTTTTACATGAAGTAAGTAGGGTTCTAAAACCTTGGTTCCAACATGCTTGAATCCAGATGCTACGCCACCCTTCATGTACCTGAAAATGTCGATAAAAATTTGTCAAAAAACTTTTAACGGATATGAATTGTTTATTGATGCAAGGAATAACAGAAATAGTAGGTCACATCTGAGCAATATTGACATTAACTAGATATTTCTGATTAGAAAAAGACATTGTTTTGGTTGACGAGTTTTTAGTATTAAAAGTACAATAGTTATGCAGGAAGGTATTTAGGATGTTGAATATTGTGTATATAAGTTATATAATTCTGGCCATTAAAAAGCCAAAGCCTAAAACATCAGTTTTTCTTTAAAAAAGAAAAACATGAAGGTGTTTGATGTCATAATATACAAACCCAAAAACGAATGAAATTTAGCCAACACTGTTTTAATATACCTGATTCCTTTTTTATTTCTGAAGTATTCTAGGAACTGTGCAGATTCATGTTCCTGAACTTCTCTGTGTTGTACTGGTGATCCTCCTAGATAATCATCCAGTTCCACAGTCTTAAAGGCTGCCACACCCTCTTCATCCTTTATGGTAAAACCAAGGGCAGTGTCAACATATAGAAATGTTACTGTTTTATATTGTATTCAGAAAAAAAAACTCATACCTGGATTCAGTTTTAGAATTATTTTCATTTAATTTAATAAACTGAAAGTGTGAAGTTAAACTTATGTATTTTAAGTCAAATACATGATCAATTCATATGAAAAAATTAACATTTTAGAGATCTTTTCTGTTATATTTTATATTATTTCATAATTCTCATTAGTATATAATATCAAGTTGATTTGGTACCTGTTGTAAGCATACCTACCTGTGAACTCTCTTTACCCAACCAAAAGTGGATATCCATTTCAAGGGCACCTCGGCTGTCTTTTACCTACAAAATATGTAAACCTTTTATTTTCCTGCCGATGTACCTCACACTTTCTATAAGTAAACTAATAATATGGCAATTCAGACATGTCATACACATCCCAATAAATAATAAACAAAAACTATATAAATTGTAATAAAAATCCACCAAAAACTAAAAATATATAAATTGTACAATCTTAACCAAACTGACTTGTATTTCTATCTTAAACAGAATCCTAACTGGCTTTAGGTCAAAATTTTAAAGATAAAACAATTCAAACAGTATATAACTTAGGACGTAAATATGAATGACATTGGATATCATGAGATATCATCAGCAATCTAAAAAAAAAAACAATATAGTATGCCAGAGTTGGCCTACTGTGAACAACAAAACATTTCTATTATTAGTTTTCACACAATTTATCACCTCTGACAGCAAAGGCAATTACAGTGCAGCCACTTTAGGAACTGACCAGCAGACGTGAAAATACACATGTTAGTTAGGTCAATCTAGAAACAGGTTTCAAAGTCATTAAACCCTCTGGCTCTACATTCCACTCAAAGACATTCTATTCAAACAAGAGCACTTGACCACTGACATGGTGATAAGATTAATGTTTTTCATTTTCATTATTTGCTAAATCTGCAATAAAAGTGTTTTTCTCCCTTCTTCTTGTAGGCTGGGACTAAGAAAATGCATTTCATAATGATAAATGACACTAATACAATTCACCAACTGCAGTTAGACTGTGTAAAAAGTTCACAAAAAACACAGTGCCATGGAAAAAGGTACAACTGAATATTCATTTATTTAATTAGTATTTATGACAATAACCTGTATTATATCTACAATGAACATGTTAGTTCAAAACAAATCATAAATTTCACAAATCTGATCAGAGCTACCTGGTAACCAATCCTTTGAGTCTTGGTCTCTCTGTTTCTTTCACAAACCTGGCTCAACCAACAGAAATTATCTCTTACAAATGAAAACCTGATTCAAATATTGGAATCTTAAGATTGATGCAACAATGTCTAAGCTTCCTTGGTGGCACGCAATATTTAAACTTGATTCAAACCTCTTTTTCAAAAGATAAACTCACAAAAAAAATAAAGTTTGCAAAATAGATTAAGAAATGTGCTTTTGCTAGTAATTATCCAATTTATTTATTATAATACTGAGATAAAATATAAACTTAATTTCTTTTCTGGAATATATGATAGAAATAAAAATTACAAAAAAGTGGGCAGTTGTTAGCAAAAATATTGACAGTTCACGATCATAAATGACAATTTTTTAACTTGCAGTTCATATACATGAAGAAAGAGCTAATTACATAACAGAATGATGCTCAATATTGCCTTGCTGAATTTTTGCAGATGGGTGCTAAACTATGTACATACTATACTGTTCACATAATTTTATAGATGTCACTAACACTTACAGAGAGAATAATGTAGGAGTCCCCTGTGTAGAATTTTCCATATGACTCTTTTGGGACTGGCACCACCTTCAATTTCTGAAAAAAAAAAGACAAATAGAAATTTTTCAAATGAAAACAATCAATTAAACAAAAACCAATACCATAACATATCAACTTTATTTTCCATAAAATGCCTACATTTTCAAAATACCTAACACAAAGCATAACATGTTCCCCAAGGATACGAGGAATAAACATTTCTTATTCTATTAGATTAAGTGAAAGGGAGATTATTGGAAAATTCACCCAAGACAGAACTCAATGACATCTTTACTTCAAACACATTTTGCCTAATCAGTTTATATGTCATCTTTAATATGCACAATAGTTGCACATACATACATAACTATACTGACGGCTTGGTACTATAGAAAATATTGATTACAGCACGNTGAATATGTCAGATCTACTTACACATAAAGTTTAATCTGCCCCATCTTCGCCACCACTTCTTCATCTGCTCCTGCTGCTGCTGCTTTGTGCACTTTCTTACTCTTCAAAGGAAGATGTTTCTCAAAAACCTTAAGAAAATTTAAGCAGGAAATATTCATTTTAGTAAAAAAGACCTGACAAGGAAAATGTGCTCATGACCTATAAGTGCAGAGGGTACTTTTATTCCATTTTACTTATCCAAATAATATGGTATTCTTACATTAACCTTCAAGGCTGCAATTTCTTTGTATATCTGATTTCAGCAACTTCAGAATATTCCAATTTCTGTTAGGCCAAAGCATTAAAAAATTCTTGATCTCACAGTATTATACAACATATCCAGACACAGGAATTTGTATGAGGTGGAGTACTTTTCAGTTCAAGTCCACTTCAGCACACCTATAAATAGCAACATTGTAAACCATATCACCTACCTTAAGTTCATCTGGTGTCATCTTATCCTCCTGTCCATCTTCCACAGTGACAACGTCACAGTTTTTGTGCTCATCTTTTAACTGTCTGGCAATTTCCATGCCCTAATGAATATACAGACATCACAGAGTTTTTAGTGTTTAACAGTCTTCAATTTTAAAGACAACATCATCTAAACATTAGTATGACTTTACTGTTGCTTTGGAGTAACAGCATCAACTTTGCAAACCAGCCAGCTAAACCTGGCTTATGTACAGTCAACCTATATAAGTTGATTGCAATACATCGTACTGACACTGTCTGTATAGAAAAAAGTATGCAAATTTGTCATTTTCTGTTGAAAGTCATTAATTTTCACAGTTCAGTAAAAATATATACACTTAAACCTCAATGTTAACACTAATGACTAGGATCTTGCCTTGATTTTCTCAGTTCTGTTTGCATCCTTCCCAATCCAGACAAATATAACATTGAACAGGTCCAACAGAAAGACATCTCCTTCGTTCATGGAGTCCCAACTGATTGGCACCTATTAAGATAGGAATTGCAAAAATATAAATAATAATAATTGTCTTGTGTCTCTATCTTTATTTGTCCCAGTAAACAACACTTATATAGCTCAGTTCTACAAAAAAAAATTAATAAAATTAAATACCATTTATCACAGAAAAATATAATCATCTTGTGTTTTGAAATATCCACTCTTAAATTACCATTTACAGGATTTAACCAGCTCGATTTTTAAACTAATTTTCCAAATCTCACTTATTTTTTGCCTGCCATAAAAATGTGGATATAATGTGTGTTTATTGTGGATGTAAATTGTAGATATAATGTTGAATGGTTTTAAATACCTCGGTGGTCCTGACAGTTCTCTTTCCTTTTACATGAAGTAAGTAGGGTTCTAAAACCTTGGTTCCAACATGCTTGAATCCAGATGCTACGCCACCCTTCATGTACCTGAAAATGTCGATAAAAATTCGTCAAAAAACTTTTAACGGATATGAATTGTTTATTGATGCAAGGAATAACAGAAATAGTAGGTCACATTTGAGCAATATTGACATTTAATTTAACTAAATATTTCTGATTAGAAAGAGACATTGTTTTGGTTGACAAGTTTTTAGTATTAAAAGTACAATAGTTATGCAGGAAGGTATTTAGGATGTTGAATACTGTGTATAAAAGTTATATTATTCTGGCCATTAAAAAGCCAAAGCCTAAAACATCAGTTTTTCTTTAAAAAAAGAAAAACATGAAGGTGTTTGATGTCATAATATAAAAACCCAAAAATGAATGAAATTTAGCCAACACTGTTTTAATATACCTGATTCCTTTTTTATTTCTGAAGTATTCTAGGAACTGTGCAGATTCATGTTCCTGAACTTCTCTGTGTTGTACTGGTGATCCTCCTAAATAATCATCCAGTTCCACAGTCTTAAAGGCTGCCACACCTTCTTCATCCTTTATGGTAAAACCAAGGGCAGTGTCAACATATAGAAATGTTAAGGTTTCATATTGTATTCAGAAAAAAAAAACCTCATACCTGGATTCAGTTTTAGAATTAATTTCATTTACTTTAATTAACTGAAAGTGTGAAGTCAAACTTATGTATTTTAAGTCAAATACATGATCAATTCACATGAAAAAATTAACATTTTAGAGATCTTTTCTGTTATATTTTATATTATTTCATAATTCTCATTAGTATATAATATCATGTTGATTTGGTACCTGTTGTAAACATACCTACCTGTGAACTCTCTTTACCCAACCAAAAGTGGATATCCATTTCAAGGGCACCTCTACTGTCTTTTACCTACAAAATATGTAAACCTTTTATTTTCCTGCCGATGTACCTCCCACTTTCTACAAGTAAACTAATAATATGGCAATTCAGACATGTCATACACCATCCCAATAAATAATAAACAAAAACTATATAAATTGTAATAAAAATCCACCAAAAACTAAAAATATATAAATTGTACAATCTTAACCAAACTGACTTGTATTTCTATCTTAAACAGAATCCTAACTGGCTTTAGGTCAAAATTTTTAAAATAAAACATTTCAAACAGTACATAACTTAGGATGTAAATATGAATGACATTGGATATTACCAAAAATCTAAAAAAAAATCATATAGTATGCCAGAGTTGGCCTACTGTGAACAACAAAACATTTCTATTATTAGTTTTCACACAATTTATCACCTCTGACAGCAAAGGCAATTACAGTGCAGCCACTTTAGGAACTGACCAGCAGACGTGAAAATACACATGTTAGTTAGGTCAATCTAGAAACAGGTTTCAAAGTCATTAAACCCTCTGGCTCTACATTCCACTCAAAGACATTCTATTCAAACAAGAGCACTTGACCACCGACATGGTGATAAGATTAATGTTTTTCATTTTCATTTTCAGTATTTGCTAAATCTGCAATAAAGGGAAGTTTGGCGTAGTCAAACGTTTATTTATGGTGACGGTCTGATTCTTCACAAGTTGTTAACATTTTTGCTCTAGCCTCGGATTCAATGCTGCATCTATCACGATCAGACTCCCTGTCCAATCACGGACGTTTATTATGGCATAACTTGCCAAAAATTTGCATAAGCCTCGGATTCAACGCTGCATCTTTTGATCAGACACCCTGTCCAATCACGGACGGGGGTTTCACTTAGGTTCGCGCCTCAGCGTTTAACCAAATGAGCGTTACTATTCCTTCCCACTCTGCTTTATACAAGGTTCTATAGTGTATGCAATTGTCAGAATAATTTTACGTTCGCCATCTTCAATTTTGATTGTATTACCAGTTACGGATTCACAGATATTTCAAGTCGGGCCTTTCAAGGCGAACCTGCTGATAGATCGACGCATCTCTGACTTCCCCACGAACAGAACTCCAATTTGCTACAAGTAAGTTTTTTCTTTATTTGAGTATGCGGATCCTCTCCTTTTCCCTCAGTAAAGTTCCATGTCTTAGATATCTCATACCCAATTGTACAGTGGTCCAGCAAGACATGCGGACCCCAAACTTTTGTAAATATGTATATATAGTTGCTTTTGTAAATATTTTCTTTCAGAACGCCATTGGGCACTGTTGCATCGGCTGACAAAAATTTAAAAGACCGGACAAGCGACATTCTTTACCGATTACACAAAATTTTTCTAATTAAAGGGTGACAGGAGGGAGAGCTCTACTCCTCGCTGTAAGGCCTATCACGTAAGGAAAAGAGCGTACCTCCCCCTCCCTCAGAGAAGGGAGTTAGGGTTGGGTAGCACGCCGCAGCTTAACTGTCACCCACTTATTTTTCTCTAATTAGCTTTCTAAATCTCAGTCAAAAACAGGCTTGTCCGGTCATCATTGTGATACGGTAATATGCCAAACAATTCGACCAAGATTAATTAATTAATTTCATGGAAATGTCAGTTTGGTCGAATTGATTAAAATACAGCAAATGGAAATCTTCGATATCGTCGGATTGTTAGGGGCATCTGCCAAAACGTCCATCTTTCCGGAAGTATTGCATTTTACCGGAAGTGTTACGCAAGATAAGCCGTAATTTTCGCCTAACATGTGTTTCAGGCATGTTTTATCCTCCTGAAATTGTATTTTTCTGTGTACAATATGTGCTTACATTACTTAACATTAAAAAAGACGACAATTATAATTTTTAATTATATATTTCCCTCACCTACGATCACTTTCATGATGCGCTTCACAAGTGGGACGAGTATTTCCCCGGAGACAGGTGTTGTAAACAAAGGCCGGTCACTTATATTTGAAACCGGTAGCTTAAGTGGACTTAAACTAGTTATGTGATCTACGTACGCCCTATTTGAATTTTAATATGACAACTGAAATCAACCGAATTGAAATTTTTTACCAGTCTGAGATCAGTTGTTTTCAACCCGCAAGGCTTGCTCAGCGTCGAGGTGTAGACGTACGTACTTCCGAAGAAAATTCAATCACCCGTATCAAAGAATACCAACTGGTACTCAAACGGAAATCAGTGTAACTTCAAATTACTATTAAGTATTTCATATAAAAAGCATGTCATATAAAATCATATTGAGAAAAGGCAAAATACGGAGCGTACCTGTGCCGATAGACATACATGTACAGTATTTTGCTGGCATTCTTCCGATTTTCTCACTTATATACTCTCGCTGTGCACAAACCACGGTGCATATTGAAAACCCCACTGATACAACCCGAACGTAAAAAAAGCATTTACTTGCCATAATTTTCACAAAACAGGTGCATTTATAATTTGACGTGAGAATTGAGCACATGCAGAAATGAAAGACTGGTTTTATCTGGTCTGCTCCAGCATAGCGCAAACCACATGTTAATGAAGACGGTCCCATTTTGGGGGAGGGGGTCACAGGAATGGAGTTCGTCGTGGATTACGCTAAATATTATCAACATTTCATGCATCTTGGGAAATAGAAAGTGACTCACAGGTAACGTAAATACCCAGTGGAACTCTCTATGAAGGATTTTCGCAGTCCCGAAATATTCTTGGTCTTGCGACTGCCCTTTCCAGTTCATCCACTTCTTCACGATAAACAGCAATAATAAGAGCTATAGAGAAATAATGTTGCTGTACAGCTTTGACTAGCGCAAATGAATGCCACTGTGTTGTACAGTGACTGAATCTAAGGACAAAATTTCCACTTAAGAGACCCAATGAGGTACCTTAAAGTTGAGGAGATATTTGGGGAATTCTCAACTTAAGATGTTTTGTGCATACGGGGCCAGATGTCATTTTTCACCAGAAATTGTCTGCCTCGCCAAGCCTTATGTTTTATTTACCCGGGGTTCAAAATTTATTATACATTACCGTACTGCACATTTTGCCTTCACCACCACAATGTACTTTTTCCTACAGCATAATTCGAAAACCGTATGGAATACAAAAAAACAGAGACCACAAGCAGTGTTGGGCTTTACATGCTTTACAAAATGGGTCTCTAGCATTAACGGTTCCCGAATTAGAGACAGTTTTCAGTTTCGGTAACTTATGGCCGCTACTCCTGTCAAAATGCACCGATTGACCCCAAATTCACGGTGATGAAAGATGACCCGAAGGGTAACATTTTCCAATAATATTATTGGTTAGGTCTGTGTGGTTTCTGAATATCAGCGCAAATAATTTTTTTTCGTAAAAAATTTCGTTTTTTTTTGAAAATTTTGGCCCATTTGACCTTGAAATAAAGGTCAAGGGTCAAATCCAAGGGCATATTTAAAATCTCCACATATGACTTTCGGTCAGCCATCTGTAGAAATTTTTCCCATAATTCCATCAGTTTGGGAGATATTTAGCATTGAATTTTCAAAAATTTTGACAAGGGTGCGTTTCAACGAGCATCACAACCAGGCCAATGCAGCAACTGAGACAAAAAAACCTGGGGGTTCAAGTTGAGATTATATGTGACCTAAATCCAAGAGATGAGGATACAGGTCCTTGCGGTCTAGGAGGAGAAGCGGTAACGGTGACTTGTATCCCACGTCATCCTGCGGGAGCCGGCGGAGCTGTACGAGACGGATCGGGACTAAAACCATGAGTACCGCCAGCGTACACGCTGGTGGTACTAATAACACTTATTACATGTTACATTTTCAATGGTTCTTTTCAATATACATGAATTCCTTCAAGTTACAAATTTGAGGATAAGCTATGCAAATAGTTATATGCTAATAGTTATATATATATATATATAGTTTCCATTTGAAAATTTTACCGAAAATAATAATAATAATAATAATAATAATAATAATAATAATAATAATTCGTCCAAAACTTTTGCATAATATTGCAAACAGACAAACAAACTCACTTTACAGTATTACAGCACTTAAGTATTTTAATTTCTAAAACGATGAGATAATGTACACCTTCAATTACAATACGAGATATTTCTTCTAAGGGAAAAATAGCCTTTTTGGTTTAAGATTACATTTTCAAATACTCACATAAAGAATTGCGATCCATTGGTATCTTTACCACGGTTTGCCATGGACAGAAGAAAGGGACGGTCATGCTTGATGATGAAATTTTCATCTGAAAAAGATAAATGCATTCTACAATTACTATCAAGTTTCAAATAACTGAACTGTCCAAATAATTGTAATGTGGAAATTGTCCAAACATTAATCACTGCACAGTCTGAATAATTGCACCATGTGGAAAAATGTCCAAAAATCCATAATTGTACCATGCCAAATAATTGTACTGCATGGAATTATCTCTTAAAATCAACTTAAGGATCAGAGAGGCGATACTGCCTCCGGGTATTGTGCCACCAGCTGCAGTTTCGTTTGGAAAACAAAACAAGGCAGCAAAGCTGCCTAATGTACAGACAAAAAGCAGAAAATAATAATGCACAAAATAGGATTCTGATGCAATAATACATGCTTAACTGCAGAGTCAACAAATTTTAATTATGCACAACAGATAATACTGATGAAAGTAAAAGCATAAAGCTTCAGGCCCATGAGAGTTCAAGTTCACAGTTGAATCTGACAAAATGCAATGATATGAGTTCATTCCATTTTTGATACTTTATTATACAATATACGATAACAGGTTTACCGTCATTTTTAAATAATCACATAACAATATTGTTAAGATGCAGAAAATGTCAAAAGAACACTTTTACATACCTAATTAGGTCAATGATCAGACTGTTAACATGGGTAAGAATTTTAAAAATCTGAGGAAAAACCTTGATACATACAAAGAAAGGCATTACTTCAGTATAACTTAATCGATCAAGCTTACTTTTGAACTTAATTTGTATATTAGTAAGATTGATCACTCCTGTGAGTTGCAAGACAATAGGCCTATCAGTTTTCCTTGAAATGTGTTATCAATGTTGCATTTATATGCTGAAAAAAGGAAAAAACAGTATAACTTTTGTTAAAATGGTCTGATCAAGCTGATTTTTTAACTCAACCTGTATTTTATGAATGTACATCAGTTCTGTAAGTTTAAAGCTAAAAGTAAAAGGATTTTCCACTTATCGTGTTATCAGTGTGGCATATATGCTGTAACAAGCGAAAAAACAGCATATATTTTAACAAAATGGCCCGATCATGCTGATTTTCAAGCTCATCCTGAATATTCTGAATATTCATCAGTTTCGTAAGTTTAAAGCCCAAAGGTACATTTTTCTACTTATTGTGTTATCGCTATTGCATATATGCTGAAAAAAGTGAAAAAACAACATAACTTTTGAATAAATGGTCTGATCAAGCTGATTTTAAAACGCGACCTGCATATTACGAATATTCATCGTAAGTTTTAAGACAAAAGGTACCCGTAAAACAGTTTTCCACTTATCGTGTTATCGGTGAAAGTGCACAGCGACGATGATGCAGACGGCGACGACAGATGCAGGTGACAGCTATATGTATACACACACATCTGTGTCTGTACATAAAAATAAAGCAATTGCTTTGGAAAAGTAGGTGAAATTCAAGGTCACAGTTAAGATGCCAATATATGACTTCCTATTCAAGTTCAGTAGTGACCATGGGCATATCCATGTTAGTTTTAGAGTATTTCACATTTTATTTTCACCATTGTGCATTGCAACATACTTATTGAAATAGCACAACTCTGTCTGAACATATACATAACACCTCATGAATGTCTTTTGGACAAGACACTACAGATAATACAAAGCTGAGATTTAAGAATGGTTCAAACTCATCTCACTGTATATAAACTGTTTGTTATTTGCATATCTTGTCATCAAACATTTAGGAAAAATACTATGTCCAGGCCTGTTAATGGCATTCAATGAAAGGGTCTTCTTAACATTTTTTAAAGAAAAACATATATAATGGATAAATGAAAGAGACAAGTTTATCAGCCCTCTTCACTATATCAGCTAATAAAACATCTAACAAGGCAGCAAAACCATCAAATGCACGGACACAAGGCAGGAAATAATGATCCAAAATACATTTTTTGTCAATTATAATTCAATTTTATACAATTATTGTCATTGGTTGAGGACACAACTTGGCTTTATTCAACTCAAAGCAGGGGCAATAGACCGATGCTAAAAGCCAATAAGATTTACGACCCATTAAAATGTCGTTTGGTATTTCTCTTCATTATATACGGTGACATTTTGTAGGGTTTGTGGCAAAAATTATGACTTTGTATCTTTAATCATATGATTTTTCAATTCAAATTTTCAAAACCTTCTTTAAAGATAAGACATATTACCAGGAAAGGTCCCTCCATAGATAGACTCTCCTCCAGTTCCATTGCCTAAAACATAAGAGCAAACATCAGTTGACAAAGAAACGATCCATACCAATTACAATACAAGGAATCACACCTGCCTCATGTACAGAAAAAAAGATAAAACTGATAGAATGACATGTAAGCAGCTAAAATGGTGAACCATATATATATGAACCATATATCGAGTTACCTCTGACCAGAATCATTTGACCTAGTTTATTCAGCTTATCGAATCCACGTTCTCAAGATTTTTCACCAGAGTTTGGTAAAAACACCGATTGGATAAAAGTCTAGAACATTTTTGTCCAATGAGATTTTTTATTGGTATAGCACAATATATCTCCATAATCTTTGACTGGTCCAGATTTCAACAAATCATGTCTTGACTCTTTCACATTTATTAGCTCAATTATTCAATAAGTCATTGAGTGCAGGCTTTAAATTAAAGTGGCCTAATTAATCTGGTCAAGGGTAACTAGAAACAGCAATGGTATCTTATAAAGAAGAATTTTTTTCGAGTAATTTTTTAAGCTCAGGGTGTTTAATGATGATACAGCCCCATTTTTTCATTTTTCATGTGATATTACACAATATTTAATAAAATAATAACTATAAATTTTTAATTCTTTCTTGTAATAAGAATTTCATCCTTAGATGAGATCCGTTTGCATGTGTTGGGGCGCTTTAGGTTATACCGTTCAGAGGCAAGCGTATAGTGTAGACATTACAATGGAAATTGATTGTGAAACAACAGTTTAAACATTTATATTGAAATGTTTTTTCACTTTGCATGTTTTTTCTGTGCACATGTGCGAAAATCAATCACTCACAGGTGGTAATTGACATTTATTTTCGCAAACAATGACACGAGATTCAAAATACATGGTGTCATGGCAGAAGTTACCAGTGCCTTTGTAAAACAGGGCAGCAAAGCTGTCAAATGTACAGACAACAACCAAGAAAAATAATGCATTGAAGTTGATTTGCCCTCATTCATAAAAGTTACAAAATAATAAGTAACATAGTTTTCCTTTTAGAGCGTTTGTAGTGGCAGTACACAAAATATTTTTATCAATTTTGATGCAATGTTACATAACACTTAACAGCTTCTTATCACCAATTTTAAATTATGGACTGCAGAGGACATAGTTATCTACAAAATGTGACTAACAAAGGGCTTCAGGCCCATGGAAATTCAAAGTAACACTTTAAAAATGCCAATATGTACACAAGTACTGAAATGTATTATTTTCATTTTTATCACACATAATACACAATTTAATTTCATTTTTAAATGATAAACTAAAATTTTATTAAGATGGGATAAATATCAATAAAACAATTTAAATGTCTAATTTGCTCCATTCTGAGATTCTGAACATAGTGAGGGATTGAATCTGACAAACTGCACCGATGTGAGTTTATTTTCATTTTTGACACGTTATGACACAATACACGATAACAGATTTACCAGCATTTTATATAAGAAATTTATACAATTGTTAAGATGCAGAAAACGTCAAAATTCACTTTTACAACTAGAGAATCAGAGAGGCGATATTGCCTCCAGGTACTTTACCAGCAGCTGGAGCTGGAGTAAGTACATTCATATGGAAAACAAAAACAAGGCAGCAAAGCTGTCAAATGTATAGACAAAAAACAGAAAATAAAGATGCAGAAAATAGGTCACAAATGCCAGTGTTTGAGAAAAAAATTAAAAAGGAAAACATAAAACTAGACAAGGCAGCAAAGCCGTCAAATGTACAGACAAAAAGCAGGAAATAACTATGCACAAAATAGGCTACTGTCAATTCTGATGCAAAAGTACATTATGTTAAACTGCAAATTCAACATCAAATTTTAATTATGCTCAACAGATAATACCAATGTAAGTAAAATGTGTAACAAGCATAAGGCTTTCGGCCCATGGGAGTTCAAGTTCACACTTTGAAAATGTTTAACTTCCAGAAAAAGAAGCCAATTAGACTACTTTTCCAACCCAGGCTGCATTTTAGTCCTGCATTTCTTTTTTGAACATTTGGCAATTATAAGTAACATGGTTTTCCCATAATGGTCATAATGGCAGCAGCACCCATAATTGTTTTCTTCTATTCTGATGCAATATTACGTATTGGTTAACAGCATAATGACCGTCAATTTTTAATAATAAAATATACGTATCATGGATTTTCAGAAAATGTGACTAGCATGGGTCTCCAAGCATGTAGAACTTCAAAGTCACACCTTGAAAATGCCAATATGTGAAATATGCTGAAAAGTGAAAAAAAGCATGACTTCTACAATAATGGACCGATCATGCTGATTTTCGAACTTGACCTGCGTTTTATGAATATTCATCAGCTCTGTAAATATAAAGCCCAAAAGTAAAACTGCCCTCCACTAATCATGTTTACAAGGAAAGTGCACCGCGCCAGCATCGGCATCGGCGATGGCGATGACAGACGCAGGTGATGGCAATATGTACAGATACATCTGTGTCTGTACATAATTATGAGACTGTTAACATGCCTAAGAATTGAATCTGAGGAAATGTGAAAAAACGGCATTTCTTTAAAAAAATGGCCTGATTATGCTGATTTTTAAACTCAACCTGCGTTTTAGTAAGATTGACCACTCCTGTGAGTTTAATGACAATTGGCCTATCTATTTTTCTTGTATTGTGTTTACAGTGTTGCATATATGCTGAAAAAAGAAAAAAAACATAACTACTAAAATAGTGGCCCGAACATGCCTATTTTCGAACTTGACATGCGTTTAGTAAGATTGATTACTCCTGTGAGTTTCATGACAACAAGCCTATCGGTTTTCCTTGAAATGTGTTAACGGTGTTGCATATATGCTGAAAAGTGAAAAAATAGCATAACTTCTACAATAATGGCCCAATCATGCTGATTTTTCGAACTTGACCTGCGTTTTATGAATATTCATCAGCTCTATAAATATAAAGCCAAAAAGTAAAACTGTCTTCCACTTATCGTGTCAACGCTGAAAGTGCACGGCAACGACGACGACGACGACAGAAGCAGGCGATGGCAATATGTACAGACACATCTGTGTCTGTACATAAAAAAAAACAAGTAAACTCTTGATTTGAGTGAAAATCAGTTGTACATCAACTAAATGCGGATACTGTCAGATGTAATATCTATTTCTTAAAATGAAAATACATATTTTGATACTTTGGGTGCCTTCTAAGCTGAGATATCCCACAGTTTCTGACACCCTGTAAATACTTAAAATTTTGGCCAATTTAAAATACTCATACTTCCAGTTTGTTTAAAGTCCACTTAACGGAGGCTCAGTGGCTCCCGAGCTGAAGTATCATTCTGACAACGGTACTTTACAGTTAGCATAAGTCTGAGACCTTGTTTACTTCTGATGCACACCTGGCATAAATTGAGCGTTTTGTGCTCAGTTATGTCAGTAGACTCCTCTACCACAACACTGATAAAATCCACGTCACTAAGTGTCGCATCAATGTCTGATTTGATTACAGCTGCAATGGACTCTTGCATTTCTGCTTGGCCAAAAATATATGGTTTTTAATGCAGCCACCAGGGCCTGTCTTTGTTTGACAACTGCCTTTCCAACACGTGTCTCATATTGCTCACTGCATTCGCGATTATGGCTTGTTTATGGTGATTCTGCATGTCTTGTGAGAGTTGACATTTTGAAATTAGTCGCACCCTTGGTGAGTGCATTTCTGAAAGTACCCTTCCTACAAACAGCGCAAAATTTCTTGCCATCTTCTAACTCTATCCAGGTATATTTTTTTAATTATTCTTGTTGGAATTTTCACTTTCTTTTTGCTTTTTGCAGTTCTTCAAACTCAGATTCTAGGCTGTCCCCCATGCTGTCAAGAGATGCACTTTCCAAGCAATGTCACTCTGCTAGATGATTTGAGAGATACTGTCATTTTGATTGGTCAATAACAACAAAGAATGACGTCAAACGCTCAATTCAACCAATCATGGTAGACGATTCAGGGTGTCTGAAAGCGCGAGAGTCAGATGGTGTTTGCTGTTCTATAAACACAATATTGGCGAGAGCATAAATCAGGTCAATTTTTGAACACATAATTTGGACACGACTTGCTAAATTGATGTCACTTGATTTAAGGGGGACATTGTGGGCGCAGTTAAGTGGTTCTTGTGGGACATTCTTTAAAAATAGGGGCTAATGGTGCTGCCTAGATCCATCCCTGCACAATACATGATAACAAATTTACCATCTTTTTCATATAATCAAGTAACAATTTTGTTAAGATGACGAAAATGTCAAAAGTACACTTTTCACCCAAACCCAATGTAGAGGTGCATTTCACATGCTGAAGTGTCAAAAAAATATAAAAATGAATGAATTCAAAGTTGTATTCAATTTTTTAAAAAATAAATGTGTATAGAACAAAAATCAATGCTTGTCTCAATTTAAATTCAAATTTTAATTTTTACCATGTCTTTTACATTATGCAAAAAGCCCTAAATGGTAACGTATGTTCCAAAAATAAAAGGTAATGTATGTTCCAGGTCATCTTATTTTAATTTTTATACCGCATTCCGATAAATTTTGTAGTGGTTCAGTCATGATAAATTAGACATGGCGTCAGGATGCTTTTATAAATCTTTAAACTGTAACTCAAGGAGTTTTGTGTCATGGCAAATACTACTTGTTCCCTAGAACAATTGTCAAAATGTTTCATTTTGCTCAAGTACTTGGTGTAAGAGAAAACAATCATCTTTTCTTTTGCTGACTGAAAAATATATTACACTTCATGATAGTTTGACATTTCTGATATAATATTTGAAGCACAATTTTCAAGACTATAGGCCTATTGGTATTCCTGTGTTGCATATATATAACAGTATAACTTTTGAAAAAATGGCCTGATCATGCTGATTTTCAAACTCCACTTCCATTTTTTAAATATGCATCGGTTCTGTAAATTTCAAGCTGAAAAGTAAAATGGTTTTCCATTTAACATGTTATCATTGTTGCATATATGCTGAAAAAAAAAACTTTTGAAAAAAATGGCCCAATCACGCTATTTTGGAACTTGACCTGTATTTTATGCACATTCATCAGTTCTGTAAGTTTCAAGCCAAAAGGAAAAGCAGTTTTCCACTTATTATGTTATCAGTTTTGTACATATGCTGAAAAAAGCGAATAGACAGCATAACTTTTGATATATGGCCTGATCATGCTGATTTGTTAACATGACCTGTGCTTCATGAATATTCATCAGTTCTGTTGGTTTTAAGCCAAAAGATAAAACAGTTTTCCACGTATTGTGTTTGTACATAAAAATATACTTACCATTGACAAAATCTCCAGATTGGATCATAAAATCTTTGACAATTCTGTGGAAAGGTGAACCTTGGTAGTGGAGAGATTTCCCACTCTTTGAAGCACTGCCTTTTTCTCCTGAAATTGGGGGAAAAAAACTGGTGGTGTATCAAACAGTGACTTGTGAAGAAATGGATGTCCCCTCCAATGTTAGCATGTTTGCCATGCAGCAATAAATAATACTTATAATAAACATTCAAAAATCAATAATAAGATATATTTTGAAACCCCACTCATGGACTTAACCTTAGTAACATTTACTTCTCAAATGAATGGAGTAAGTTTTAAGTAAAAATCTGTTTCTAATTCACTGTGAACATGGATAGTATACTCACACATAATTCTAATTCAGAAATAACACGGCATGGAGGCAATATGACCACGGGCATATGCTTCAGAAAAAATTTTTTTGTGTCATTATGCAAAAGACGCAGACACTTACAGACTTTACTAAAGGGATTAGACCATCAGACATGCCTGACAAGTTAAATCTCAGTCCGATAAAAAAAATCCTGTATCGTCCTTATGTCCAGCGAGTTTTCAAGCTGATTCGGAATATGTAATCTGTCAGAGGGAGGGCTAAACTGAGATCTGGTTGAGCACGCAGGGCACTTTTCAAAGTGTTTTGTCCTATGTCAACATAAGGAGAAAAAATTTCATCTCTGATGGGACACATGGTCATATTGGCCTGAGTCAGATATTAGGTTGTTTTTTCTAGTTTTTATCATCCAAATATGTTAAACTAATCAGAAGTAATAGTTTAACATAGAAAACGGCCACCTATCACTTATTTTGAGTAAAAAAATTATTTAGCACTAGGAGTGGTGTATCCCATCAGAGATATTTGACTTTGAAATGTTTTCAAATTTTCCACATCTGTTAAGTTGTATCAATGAAACTTAAAATCCTCTTTTAAATAATGATTAGTAATGATTATAGCTAAAAATTAGAAAATTAAAACAGATACAGTGAATTTATTGCCACATTTTATCATTATCTCTGATGGGACATTTTCTATCTCTGAGGGGACATTTTCTGACAGATGTGAAACACAAGGTTTTCATCTTAAAATGAATCATTTTCTAGTGTTCTGTTGTGTTGCATTTCTATTTTTTCTTTTGCAACTCTTAATTACTGGGTAATTCATTAACCATTACTGATTATTAGCTAGCTTGACTATCAGTGATTTGGTGTTGACATAAAATAAATATAATATATGATATCACATATATTTATCATTTAAGACAGACCTCATATATTTATCATTTAAGACAGACCTCATCGAGTTGTGAGCAGGTCACTCTGTTCACTGCATGTGCATGGTTTAGAACAGTCTAAAGGAGACCTCCAGCTCCGACCATATGTTGTGGTATCTGATGATATGCACCATAACAGTCTGTCTTCCTCTTCGCTTGTAATAAGGCCATTCTCGAAGACCTCCAACATCAGCAATCATTCAGCAAAGTCCATTACTTGTCAGACGGAGCCACCAGTCAAATCAATTTCAATTTTATTTGGCTGGCAAAGAATTGTGCCCCAATGTCAATGTAATGTACCTGTCTGCAGCAGATATTGTAGAAGCTACAGCGCCCTCAGCAGTCATTGGGAAAACTGTCCATCTGTTCCAAAATTCAACACTTCCCCCAGCTTCAGCCCTAGCCCCGTGGACATGTTCTTGTGTCAACCAATTCTCAGTACCAGCAACCCCCTTCAGATGCTAAACTTGTTCACATGACTGTGGAATTTGATCTGCCTGCACATCCACACAATGACTATGTCAGTCAAGGCACAGCTCAGCTTCACCAGGGAAATTTTGTCATTGTGGAATTTGCAGCCAGGAAAGGAGTAAAGCAATTCTAAGGTCAGGTCACCCATGAGACTGAAGATGGCAAAGTGGAAGTCAGTTTCTTATGCACTGAAGGTTCTAGCAAAAAAATCTTTGTGTTCCCTGCCACAGAAGACAAAGCATGGATCCAGAGGTATTTTCTAAGAGTCTTCCATATTATCTTTGCTGATCCATCCTCCTTTTCTGACTGTCTTCCAACAGAAGAAATTAGATACCCATCATGTAAAGTTGAAAATATGACCATCTTCTGGAAGACCCAGAAGACGACCTCAATCTGCCCCTGAGAAGAGACTGATACAGTGAAGTGGCTAGCATGTATCATGCATTAACATTCCCACTCGGACCATAGCATTTATTCTAGATGCAAAGCAGTCTATATCTGGGGCTCCCTAAAAATCACATATCTTATGAAAAATCGTGCTGTCTAATTTCCATTCAAGATCACCGTTGAATTCTATGGAAGCCTTATAAGCTGTCACATGCTCCTTCATTAGTCTTCAGAAACTGTGCCGCCCATGTTGTTTATGTGTGACACTGCAGTAGTGTTATCTGTGCTCTAAGAACACAGAACGTTCACTGCTTTTTTTACAGTATAAAAACTATAAATTGACGTCAAAAATTGTTCTTTTTAAGTTTTAGAGAGGAAAGAGGAGATTTAGATGAGAAAATTCTGATTGGTCAGTTTCTAGTGACGAAACCTGCGTAGTAGCTTTCGACAGCTGTAGTAATAGTATATAGATAGAAGACTAAACATTCAGGTGTCAGTGAAACAAAATGCCGCAAGGTTAACGCTTTGTTGCACTCGGGTGCCGTAATGTAGGTTACGATAAGAAAGATGTCTGCTTTTTGTACTACCTGCGGATGCTGCAAAACGTAAAATTTGGCTCTGAGTTAAAAAAATCCAAGCACAGTGTCCAAACATGCATTATTAAAGGTCTGTAGTTCTGTAACGTATCTGGCATCGTGCTTCATTTTGGTGGACACAGCAGTGTTTTCACTACAGCATGTCAATTCAATAAAGGTGGGCATGAGATCACACTGGCCATGCTCAAGCCACGTCAGATCGTTCAGTTGGCTGACTGTAGAAAGCTCTTTTTAACCATCTTGATACTGCATGTTGAATTTAAATGTAATTCTATTTTCTTTCAGCTTGAAGTCTTGGCTTTTTAAAAATGTATACTTTGTATGGGTAATAAAGGCAAACAAATAAATTATGGCCAATTTACTGAGGTGACCTGGCTTTTCAAGGCTAGGTCACAGAATTAATTGGGCCCAGCAGAACTTTATCAGTCAGCGTTAACCGATACCTATGGGGTTAAGTGCATTTAAAATGGCCATTAATTCTAACACATTAATTGGCAATTTACTTTCTACATCTGTCCATCTACCTCTAATATCTTTGTACTTATACCTTGCACCCAAACCTAAGGTGGAGGCGTCTGTATTTCAAGTCTCTGAGGGATTTGGTCTAGCAATAACCCTATGCTGGGATTTCAAGTTTCCAATCCATCCATTTAAATCTGACCTCATACTGTCTGATATAATCATGGGTACATCAAAGTTACTCTTAGAATCTCGTAAAGTCTTAATCTTTTGCTCTTTCTTATTTTCTACAGTACAGCTTGCCATAATCCAAAAACTGGCTACTAGCAATCCAATGACTCTAGCAACCTGCCTTATTTATTATGGGTGCCTCTGAAGTATTAGACAGCTCTTTGCATGCAGAAATTATTTACTCCTGCCTATCACTTGGCATTGTTACTATCATTTTGTTGAAATCAATAACATTTCCCAAAAATTTTAACTTGATTCTTGGGTTCAATAATGATTTGTCATCATTTATAATAATACCTAACTTGGACAGAAGGGTAACTGTTGCCTTTAAATTCTCAAGGTATTCTAAATCATCACTGGCAATTGTTAAACTGTCAGAAAGGTATCCTGAACTAATTAAACCTAACTTCTCAGTTTTGCCAAAACTAGTTTAATAAGAAGTTTTAAACCACGGCCGTGCTGTATTCGACGTACAAGCATGTCATGTACGAGTGCGTTCCACGGTCTGTTGCACTCCTGTTACTCACTAGCTAATAAGGGCCCAGTATCTGTGTATTGGGTCCTGGCGCCTACCACGGATCAGACAACAATGAAAACAAGTTGTTTCTCAAACTTTTAATATCATGAAACAGCATTTACCCAAAAACTGAAATTTCACATTCTCGAATTGAACGACAAGTTGCTCACAATACAGAATGTGAAAACGAAAGTTTAAAAATCACTTCCAAAGTAAATTTCCTCCCTTCTTTGACATTTGACAATTTACTTAATTTGTGGAAGCAAATGAATATCAAGGTATCCTAATCATCATTACATGATGGGCAGGGGCGGATCCAGGATTATTTGAAGGGGGGGGGGGATCCAGAATGACAGGCCTCGGATGCGAAGCCGACCGTCGCCCCCTTAGTGTGGGGTTCAAGACCTGCTCAAGGGCCCTGAAAAATTTTGGGAGTTTTGGAGAGCAAACAGTGCCCTTTGGTATGGTTGAGAACTATGATGTAGCTAGTCAAAATTCTAATTTCAAGAGGGGAATATTGGTGTGATATATATTTTTCAGAAACCGAAGGGGGATGGGTCAGGACCCCCATGGACCCCCCCCCTCTAAATCCGCCACTGATGGGGAAGAAGAAGTAGTGTTTTTTTGGGAACTTNGCGGATCCAGGATTATTTGAAGGGGGGGGGGGATCCAGAATGACAGGCCTCGGATGCGAAGCCGACCGTCGCCCCCTTAGTGTGGGGTTCAAGACCTACTCAAGGGCCCTGAAAAATTTTGGGAGTTTTGGAGAGCAAACAGTGCCCTTTGGTATGGTTGAGAACTATGATGTAGCTAGTCAAAATTCTAATTTCAAGAGGGGAATATTGGTGTGATATATATTTTTCAGAAACCGAAGGGGGATGGGTCAGGACCCCCATGGACCCCCCCCCCTCTAAATCCGCCACTGATGGGGAAGAAGAAGTAGTGTTTTTTTGGGAACTTCTCAGTTTCTAAACTGCTGTTGCTGCTGGTGGTGGTGGTGGTGCTGCTGCTGCACAGCTGGGGCTGACTTTGGTAGAGGGGGCTGTAAAGACGTGTTCAGCCTTGTCCTCTGTCGTCCAACACAGGAATAAGTAACCACAAGGGCCCCTAACATGTTTGAGTAAAATATCACAAGGGCAGTGTAGTAGCCAATCAGAGTCCATGGTTAAAGCCAGATGCAACACTCCTCACTGAACTGTAGGTGAAAATAACTCGTGTATTATCTTGCCTGCGGCTTGACAATACACTCGTAATATTTCATGTACAGCTCAGCGACTCGTATTGTATCTATCACTTGTAAACAATGGCAGGCCCTCACTACCCATTGGGTAAACAGGTATATTGGTAGATTTTATCGCGCCACTCAAACCTAAAATATTTTTGCTGTTCTTCGGCAAGCTTAATTGAATAATAAGCATAACAGATATCGACTGACCTCATTTTTACAATATCAGTTAGCAACGGTAGCTAGGGTTTTCTCAAATGTTTCCATCTTAAAATGCTGGTATGGAATGAACAGATTTAGCTTCTTTAAATTCAGAATTAATCTGTATTCACCATTTTCTTTTTGTCTCAAAAGTATCAGTGATAAAATTTTGCCTGCTTCACTATTCACACAAATAATCCCTCTCATGTCCTGTAATTTTTTAATTTCTATGTCAGTAATGGACATATCTAACCCATTTAATTTGCAATTTGACTTTGCAACAGCAGGAATCCCACCATTGAAATCTAGATTAATATGACAATATTTCACGATGTCAAGAATAAATGGGTCACTTATAATTAGTTTCCATTCATCAATATAGCCAGCCAATGTACCTACTTCAAAATGAGTATTTACCTCATTTATTGCTTGGGCAGATTTCTCTGTCCCCTGCGTACAGTTTTTTGCAAAGTAAGATAAGAGTTTATTTAGCCAATTATAAAAATCGGAAATCATTTTCCATTGAAGCAATATACAGAGTAAAATAATAAAATAATAAATAAATAAATAAATTAAGAATTTAGCTTTGAGATCAAATTAAAATGCGTCACTGCACTTGGATAAAAGCTGTTTAAAAAGCGTTTACTGCCTTTAAAAGTTAAAAGTCTACTGTTGCTTGGTAAAAAAGTAAAAAGAGAGGATGCAGGATGGAAAGCGTCTTTCATGGTGTTGACAATTCTTTTCTCCATCCTGTCCTTAAAAATATCATCCAGCTTGGGGAGATCTTGTCCGATAATCCTGCTTGCAGTTTTTACAACGTTTGCTAATTTCTTCCTTTCCTCCCCAGCTGTTCCGCTATACCATATTATAATTCC